CTCTACGCCAGTCGCTGGCCTGACACGGCATGCGAGCCCAGACTCGCTGCGCAAGAGGCTCGCCACCGTCACGGGGACCCCGCTAGCGGCGTTTGCGCGTGAAGGCGCAGCAATGGCCAAGTCGACGCCGGCGAGCAAGATCAAGCCCAAGCACCGCCTCGGGCCGGTGGGCACGCCCAAGCGGCTGGCCGCCAGCTTCAGCGCCAGCCGCAGCGGGACGGCGACGCCATCGTCAATGAGAGCGGCCGTGACCAGTCAGGCAGCCACCGCCGCTGCCGCTGCCGCCCTCGCTGCAGCATCTGGCTCGGCCTCGGCCGTGTCTGCGCCGGCAGCGTCCACCAACTTCGTCTACGCGCCCGACGGCTCCATCGATCCCAACGACATCGACGACCTCCACTCGTTCTTCACGCTGCGCGACCCCAAGCGTCCGATCCTTGTCCCGACGATCGAGTCGCTTCAGCCGCTCGCCTTTGTCCCGCAACAGCACTCGGATCGCGCCGCGACAGTCCAGGCGGCGTCCAAGAAGAAGGACAAGGACCGCGACCGCGATGAAAAGGACGGTGCCAAGGAGGGCGAAGGGGACAAAGAGAAGGAGCAGGAGAAAGAAAAGGAGACGGAGACGGAAAAAGCAGACAAGGCGGACAAGGAGAAGGACAAGGACAAGGCGAGCAAGGCAGACAAGACGGACAAGTCAGACAAGGCAGACAAGGCAGACAAGACCGAGAAGGCGGACAAGGCAGACAAGACCGAAAAGGCGGACAAGGATCCGCTGTCGACGCTGCCGCCAGTCCGGCCTGGCGTGCCGGATGCGCTCTTCACGGCCATCGCACCGTCGCCGGAGCCGTACGCTGCCAACTACAGCCACGATACCTCGGTTCTGCCCGACGACCTGGCGGCCATGCCTTTCCATGTACCATCCGGGTCTTTGGGAGCGGGAGCGGATGCGGGCGCTGCTGCGAAACCGTCGCTTCCCACCAGCTACGAGAACGTGGCGTACGCGCAGGCGCTCCTCAACGAAGGGCGGCCCAAGAAGCTCAAGGACAAGGAGCTCGAGAAGGAGAAGGAGTACACCGAGGACTGGACCCAGTACCGCCCGCACCTCGGCCGGCTGCTCGAGGCGCGCGACCTGGGACCCTGGAGCACCTTGCCCGGTCCCCCCTTGACCACCACGAGCGGCGGCGGCGGCGGCGGTCTCAAGCTGCGGGCCGAAGGCGAGCAGGGGCTCAAGCAGCGCCTCGAAGCGTCGCTGGACGGTCGAGGCGTCGACGTGCCCGAGCTGAGCGACCTTGTCATGGCGTCAGCGGCGGCTGCTGCTGCTGCTGCCGTGCCCGCTGCGGGAGGCCGGCGAGGTGCCGAGATGTTGGCGGCCTGGAGCGAGCGCACGCTTCGCGACAAGGTGTGGAAGGGCGCACTCGGCGAGGCATACGCGCGCAGCGTGGCCGAATTTATCGGTGGGGCCATCGACTCGCCTTTTGTGTGGCAAGAAGGCGATCCGATGCCGGCCTCGGGCGATCTCGACGCTGCAGCAGGGGCGGTCGATGCGGGCGTCCAGCTCAAGAGCGAGGCGGTCGAGGACGAAGAGATGCAGCCGCGCAACAGTCCAGCACCGACGGCAGACATGAACCCCGCCACCGCCACCGCCAACGCCACGCCGACACCTGCACCTGCACCTGGACCCACCGTTTCGCAGGCGATTCCCTCGGAAGCGCTGCTGCCCATGCCGCTAGCGGACTACGTGGCCAAAACCGTGCTCGATCCGCTCTCGTGCGGCATGCTCGGCGTCATGCGGAGCGTGGAGCAGCACCTCGTCTCGCAGCCGACGCTGACGGACGCGACAACATCTCTGAGCGCGAAGACTGCGACTGAGCGGCTCGCCGACGGCCTCGACGACGCCAAAGAGGCCGAGGAGATGCGCTCCATGATCGAGCACGTCCTCTCTACCTGAGCCGACTCTCTTGCCTCCCCCAACGGCTTGCTTGCTGGCTCGCTCGCTTGTTCGCTCGCATGCGATGCTGCTGCGGCTGCTCTTGACTATCACCTATCACCCATCACCTCTACTCTACGCTACTCTACGCCACGCTACTACGTCGTAACCAACCCCTGTTGTACTTGTAGGACCTGCGCACTGAACTGCACCTTGCCTCGTTTGCCTTTTCAATCAGATATCGGTGCAGAGGCTCGGAGATTGTCAAACTGGCGCGTGGTGCGTGCGTCGAGGAGCGTCGGTGTGGCGCAGGGTGTTGCTGCTGATTCGATCATGACGGTGTTCAGTCGAGAGGACGAGGATGAGGACGAGGACGAGGGCAAGGACGAGGTCGAGTTGCGGGGACAGAACAAACCAAGTGTCTCGCGCGAGAGAATTTCGCACGGCGGGCAACACAAGGGCGTGCCTGACCATGCGTCACGAGCACGGCGGCAGGGCAAGGGAGCGAGCATGCGGTTGCGTGCCTGAGCCAGGCCTGCCGAGCTTGGCTTCGGCCACCCCAGCCTGCCTCTCTCGACGACGATGGGGGTATCGATGCGTTGCAGACCGGAAGCAGGCCGGCTTGCTTCCTGCTCGATCGGAAGCAAGAGACAGCAGCGACGAGGCAGGAGCGAGCACAGATCAGATAGACGGCGAAGAGTCGCGTCGGGCCGCGTTTGGTTCGTTGGGCGCGTCCTCGCCCCTCGTGCCTGCCTGCCTGCCAGGCCTCTGACCGTCCGTCAGTCAGCTCGAACTCGCTCGTTGGTCCGCGCGGTCGACTGACGGCCTACCTGAGTACGATGTCGAGCGCGCGTTGAGCACGCACGCACGACCCTTTGTTCTGACTGCGGGCTTGGCTGGGCTGGGCTTGGCCTGGCCTGACCTCCTGGTGCGCAGCCTGAGCGGTCGACTGGCTGGAGACTAGGGTAGGGTACGTCATCCGCCCCACGTCTTGCTGGCACGGGTGCGGCGGAAACAAGCAAGCCAGGCGGGTCCAGCAGGCGGGCGTCTGACCGCACCCGGGCCGATGCTCGGGTCGACGAGTTCCAGCGAGGTCCCCCTCAAGCAAGATAGATGTCGATGCATGCTCAGCCAGCCAGCGCAGATCTCGCATAGAGTTCTGGCCGTGCCTAGACGTACGCTCTACCTGGCCAGTCATCAGCTGGTCTAACGGACGCCCTAGCCTACTTGCTTGCTTGTCGGCGGGCTGTGCTAGAGACGGCTTGGCGCGCGTTGCACGTTGACAGCGAGCAGATGGATGGAGAGAGGGAGGGGATGATGATTGGCATGCCAAGCTTCCAAGCAAGCAAGCAAGCAAGCAGCAGCTGGCCGGCCAAGAAGCAAGGCACGCGCAGGTCGAGCAAACGTAACCGCTCGCTCCATGCGGACCGGCTGAGAGGCAGCAGGCTAGGGTCAAGCAGGCTGGTCAGGGCAAGCAGGCAAGCCTGCCACCAGGCAGGGCATGCGGACGTTGGCGAGGGCCCTCCCCCATGACGACGTACACGCGGGCGCTCATCCTGGCCTGGCCCGGCCTCACTCTGACCGCATCTATTTTTGGGGGGCGCAAACAGCGCCAACGCCCAGAATCGTCCAGGTCGCTCGCCCGCTCGCCCGCTCGCCCGTCCGCCCGCCGGTCAGTCGGGTCACCAGCAGCGAGCGGAGCCTTCCGGCGTACGTACGTCGCCTCGGCGCTCCTGTGCTTCGTGGGCCGTGGCCCTTGGCTGGCTGGCTGGCCATTTCGGCTGGCCCATCGATGATGCATACAGCTCCTCTGTCCGCCCATCTCCCATCACCACCACCACCACCACCACCACCACCACCACCACCACCATAGCCGCCGCCACAGCTGCCGTCAACGCCATCCACCTCTGGCCCGCCCATCTGCCCGCTCGTCCACATCGATCCGGCCAATCGCTGTCGGAGCAAGCCTCCTTCGCCGCATCACCTTTGGCGCCCTCCCTCATACAACGATAGACTGACAAGATCTCCTGCACCTCCCGGACCTGCCTGCCCTGGAAGCGCTGCAGAGATGCGTGAGTCTCCTGGCAAGCCCTCGAATCAATCGGGCAAACGGACGGCGCCACAAACCTTCGACTGACTGAACTGCTCCCCGGCGACCACCTGCTTGCCCGCTCGCCCGCTTGTCGCCGCAGCACCATCCGAGAGGACACCGCTCGTCGGCGGCAACGGCAACAACCGCCAGAGCGGCGATGGCCTGCCCATGCATGTGAGTGCAGCGTCGATCCTCGGGGCATCTCCGAAGCGCTCGTCCCCAGCACGATCCCCTGGCCCTGACGCGCGTTGCACCGCACCGCACCGCACCGCATCATATATCCGATCCGATCCATCCCGATCCACTTCGATCCGGTCACTGACACTCGCACAGCGACCGGAATCCTACCCCAACGCTCGGCAGCACGGCGACCACCACGGGCCTTCGTTTGTCGGCTCGCTCTGGTGGCTGGTTAGCTGCAGCTGGCTCAATGTGCTCCTCGTCTTTGTCCCGCTCGGCATCGCCGCCGAGTTCCTGCACTGGCCCGCCGTCTGGATCTTTGTGCTCAACTTCATGGCCATCATCCCGCTCGCCAAGCTGCTCGGCGATGCCACCGAGCAGGCGTCGCTCAAGCTCGGCCAGACGCTCGGCGGCCTGCTCAACGCCACATTTGGCAACGCCGTCGAGCTCATTGTCGGCATCGTCGCGCTCGTCCAGGGCCAGCTGCGCATCGTCCAGACGTCGCTCATCGGATCCATCCTGTCCAACATCCTCCTCGTCCTCGGCATGAGCTTCGTCGCCGGCGGCCTCTTCCGCGCCGAAAACTCGTTCCAGCAGACGGCCGCCCAGGCCTCGGGCTCCATCATGACGCTCGGATGCATCACCATCGCCATCCCCGCCGCGTACCAGATGTCGCAGAAGATGTCGCAGATGTTTGACGGCGGCGAGGCCGCGCTGGCCGCCTACCGCGACAGCAAGGACACCGAGGCCGGCCTCCTCTTTATCTCGCGCGGCACCAGCCTCATTCTCGTGGCCATCTACATTCTCTACCTCTTCTTCCAGCTCAAGACCCACGCCTTCCTCTATGAGGCCGACGAGGAGGACGATGAGGAGGAGGAGGAGCTCAAGATGACGCCCTACGCCGCCATGCTCGGCCTCGCCGTCGTCACGGTCGTGACGGGCTTCAACGCCGACTACCTCGTCTCGGCCATTGACGAGGTGGCCAACGACTACAAGATCCCCAAGGCTTTCATCGGCGTCATCTTGCTGCCCATTGTCGGCAACATGGCCGAGCACCTCACCTCGGTCTGGATGGCGGCCAAGGGCAAGATGGAGATCTCGATTGGTATCGCCGTCGGCAGCTCGATCCAGATCAGCGTGGGCATGATCCCCATCCTGGTCCTCGTCGGCTGGGCCATTGGCCAGCCCCTCACCCTCTTTTTCCAGAGCTTCGAGACCGTCGTCCTCGTCGCTGCCGTGCTGCTGGTCAACACGCTGATCCAGGACGGCAAGAGCAACTACATGGAAGGCGCCATGCTCTGCTCGCTCTACCTGGTCGCCGCGCTGTCGTTCTGGGTCGAGCCCGAGCAGTCCTAGAGGCGGCTGGCACGCGTTGGCCGTGTTGCGCAGCCGGGCTTAGAGACTGCGCGTGACCGCCTCCCAAGGTCGAGGTCGAGCTCGACGCTAGAATGCAGGATCCGTCCTCGTCCCCGGAAGCTCGCTCGCTCCATCTCGCCAACCCCCGTTCCACTGCAACACGCTCGACTCCCACCACCTCGCCTTCCACCACTGTCCCTTCGATCAACCCCCATTCACTTCCTGTCTATACTCTTGTCCGTTCACTTGCCTCGTTGTACATAGGCACGCTCAACAGACCCCTGCCTCTTGTATCAGTCCCGCGGTGTCCCTCAAGCTTGAATCACACACGCTCTTTACCAACCCATCCGGCCGATGCCGGTGGGGGGTAGGAACCATCCTGCTCTCTTCGAGAGGTTGGGCATCGCTTCCCTGGGGCGGGCGGGATTTCCGGCGCGTCCAAGGGGCCGGACGGAGGGGAGGCGCAACGGGGGCTGCAGCGGGTGTCCGTCCGCCAAGCGCAGGATGCCTCCGCGGACTCCGAGCCCCTGCCTATGTAGGCTGTAGCCTGATTGCCGGGCCCGACGAAGCGTTCGCTCCATCTCATCTCATCTCATCTCTTCTCATGTCAGCATCAGCACTCGAGCCACAGCAGCAGCCACCGTGCGACCGGCCTTGAGGCGGCTGACACTGCTGCGCATGCGGGCAGGACGGATTGCCAGGTCGGGCAATCATCCGTCGTCGACGGACCAGCCTTTTCCGAGGGGCTGGGGGGAGCAGAGGTGCGCTGCGAGACCCGCCCAACCGGGCACGGATTGACGCGCATCTTCCCCCGAATGGCTGAGTACAGTAGGTTCCGAGGACGTGGCGAGTCGTACGTTGAAAAGGCGGGAAGGCGAGGGATGGATGGCAGCGCGGCGGGGCGTCAAGGTGTGCCACGTTGTCGGCGAGACGCCTTCCGAGGGGGAGGGGGTTCCCGTCGCTCGCCCGCTCGCCTGCTCGCCCAGCTCGTACGCCAACCGTGCGTGGTGGGTGCGCGGACGTGCACACCGTACCTTCTCTCCACACCTCTCTCATGCTGACACCCTGAGACGGACCGGTCCGTCACATCACCGTCACCCATCACCCGTCCCCGTCCCCAATCCTCGACATCGTTCGCTGCAGCCCCAGAGGACCGCGCAAAGCCTCCAAGGTCGAGAGCACCGTACTGTACGACTGGTCTCGACTCGGGTCTGACCTCCCCGAGAGGCCAGACTAGAGGCGTGGCGGCACACAGAGCAGCAGCTGCCTAGGCAGAAGCCAAATCGGTGGCGGTGGCGCCAAACTAGGCTGCGCGTCCGAGACATGGGACTGGCTGGCTCAGCTTCTCGACTCCGGGCCTGCTCGCCAGCAAGCAAGCAAGCAAGCAAAGGCTCCAAAGCTTCTTGCACGTATCTAGCCCCTCAGCAGGTTCGGAGCAACAGCGAACACGCCAGGCGCTGGCTTGCTTTTCTCCGGTCGTCGAGGGCGGCGCTCCTCTGTTTCTAGAACCAGGCCAGGCAACGTCGTGTACGCTTGCTTGCTGCGCGCCCACCTCTTGCGCCCTCTCAACGTCGGTCTAGAGCCCTGGGAGCAGGCCAAGTACGGTCGACATCTGCTGTCCGCCGATCTAGGCGTACGATACCTACGGTACTCTCGCCGGACGGGCGGAGATGAACGGCGATGAACCCCAGCCCCAGCCCGGTCCGGTCTCCGCCCGCGCTTCCTAGACGATCGAAGCCTGGCTGCTTGCTCGTTCGACGCCTCGTTTGACGTTCCACCGTCACCCGTGTCAGGCAGAACGCTGACAAAAGAGGGCAGGATCGATGTGCTGCAGGTCTGGGCGGGCGCGAGCTCGTTCAGTACTGTACCGCTCATGACACGACACTGACGGGCAGGATCGGGATCGAGGTCCACGCGCCGAGGCGGAACGGAACGCAGCCGTACCCGCGCCGGCCCCCCCCTGTGCGATGGTGATCGACCGGAGCTGGCGGCGTGCTGAGTACGTCGGCGAGTGCTTCCACTCGGGAGGAGAGGAGGCCAGTAGGGCTTGCCCAGCCTGCCCATGGCCTGTCCTGGGCGGGCAAACGCCGTTCGATGGCATGCCAGAGCCCGAGGACCGAAACGGGCCCGGTACCTACCTGCCTCGGCCTGGGCAGCCGCGCCCGAACCAAGCAAGCAGCCGCCGCCAAGATGCAGAGCGTGGGACTCGCGCCAAACCTTAAAAACACTCTGTCTGGATTTCGGGTTTTCCACCGTCGTACGTTGGATCGATGCCCATCACCGTACCGTGACCTCGAGCCGCCCAGCCGGCCGTTGCTGTATGTACGTATCGTACGGACCGGCAGGCGGCGATGACGGCGGTCTAGCTCTTGCTTGGTCGGCATCGGCAGATCGGCCAAACCTTCGCTCGCGCCAGGGCGGAGGGGCGAGGGTGGGGCCGCTCGGCCGGACATGGGATTCGCGCTTCCATGGTTCGATGGGCGTGTGCGCTTCCATGGTTCGGGGGTTCGGTAGGTACTGTAGGTATGCACATACGCACGGTTCCTCAGCTGCTTGCGTGAAGCGGCTGGGCGGCGGGCGCCAAAGCAAGGAGCATGGAAGCAGGACAGAGGCGCGCTGCCCATGCATCGAGCCAAGCCAGTGGAACGCAACGTCTGCCCGGCCTTCTGTGGATGTGGGCGACGCGCGCACCAGCGCACATGTGCCATCGGCCACTCCAGCACCCAGCCTATGCCTCCCTTGTTTCCATATCGGCTCTCTCGTTGTCGCCCATGTACAGGACGTCCTTGCCTGCTCATCGCCCCCTGCTTCATGGGCCCATTATTGTGCCGTCGATTGCCCTGCTATCGGCATGCCTCGTCTGCCATCGTGCGGCGTCTTGCACGCCCGAGGTAGGGCATCGATATGGCCATGGGCGTGTACATACAGTACGCCGACCGCTCCTTCAGCCAAGCAGCATGAAGCCCTCGTCGGAGGGCTACACCGACCCGCACCGCACATCGTCGGGTGGCTTCGGTTCCCGGCCCGCCCTTCCGTACCCTCCTCGACCAGCTTCATTTCTCGGGACGGCAGAGGTCGCTGCAGGCTCGCTCTGGTTGCTCTACGGGTGCGAAACACGCGCGTGCCTGGCCAGGCAGGCCTGACTGGCATATGGACCGCCGCCTCGGCCCAGGAGGACGGGTGGGTAACCACGTACTCGGCCCGCCATGCCCAGGTATTGACAAGGCACGGCCGGCCATCCGTCGACAGGGCATCAGTGGTCACCTCGTCTGAAACGCCTAGGGCCTCCTGCCGGATCCTGACCGCCGCCATGGCGCAGCCTCTCCCTAGCCTCCCTTCTACGTCCGCGGCGCTGCTTGTGCCTTTGCTTGTGCCTTGCCTTTGGTCGGGCAGCGTCTGTCACCGGCAAGATGGTCCCGTACGCGGGTGCGCGCACCACCATCGCCACCACCACGACCGGCTGCTTTGCTTGCCAGCCTCTGCTCGCCTGCGCTTGCTGGCGCAGGTACCTTTTCTTCGCAGGCTGCCGCCGTTTGGTCGCTCCAGCCGACCCGGTGCCCTGGCACGGCCTATGCGGAGCTGCGAGGCCGACAAGCGAGAGGCACCCAGCGGCAGAGAGTCTCACAGAAAATGGTGCTAGGTACGGTACCGAGCGCCAGCTCAGCGCCGCGGAGCGCCCCCGGCAGCTGTTGCGAGGTCAGGCCGCGGCGCACCGCGATGCGAGAGGCGCCTCGCGGCCCTTTTCTCGGACAGAGAGCAGAGCAGAGCAGCGCACACGCATCGCACGAATGCACGTATGTACTAGCTGGAGTTATGCCAGGCTGCGGCTGGGGGGCTGGCCAGGCGGGATGTTGGTCTTGGCCGTGCGAATCTTCTCTTCCCGACGGCGCGCACCCGCTGCCGGGAAGGAGGGCAAATGTAAGCAGCCTCGGATCGTCCGCAGCGTCGTTCGGCACACGGCCACTGATGGACGAGGCGGTACCGCCGCCCTCGACATCCGAAAGGCGGCGACGAGATGGCCGATCAGCTACAGTACTCTACCCCCACCTCCAGATACCTAGATTGAGGGCGGAGGGAGAGATGGATGGCGAGCAAGCAAGCAAAGCAAACCAGAGGCAGTCAGACCAGACGGGGCCCGCATTAGCGAGAGGGACAATTGGCCAAAAAACCTCCGACCACGGTCAGCACCAGGTCCTGGTCCTGGTCCTGGTCCAGGCAGGCCTAACGTTGGGTGGGACCAGCCAGGACCAGGATCAGGACCGAGCTGGCCGAGTGTGGCCTGCCGTCCCGTTGTGGTCCCTGCCCCGAAGGCCCACCTTTTGGCGTCTCCGGACCTTTCCTCGTCTTCCTGCCTCCCTCGCCCCTGCCCTCGACCTCGTTCCCGCCTTCGCCTTCGCCTTCGCCTTGGCCTTCTCCCCCATTCTGCTGCCTGCAGCCCCGCCCTTTGCCCTGCCCCCGCCCCCTTTGCTCGGGCCCTGCCTGCCCTGTCGTTCGGCGATCCTTTCCTTCTTTTCCTGCCGACCGTGCGCCCCAGTCCCGCCCGCCGCCGTTCCTCGATCCAGCCACTTCCACCCGCACTTCTTGTCGCCGACCGCAACCTGCGTACGTACAGCCTTGGCTCGTACAGCAGCGCGTGTTGGTTACCTGTACGCAGCGTCTCTCGGGCCTGGGCTTGATTCCACGACTACACTCTGGCGTTGTCCTGCCAGCCCTCCTTTTCGACGACCGGCTATTCCAGCTTCCCCGGCCCCAGGCGCCGCCTCACCCTCCGTTCCTTCTCGACGTCCACGACCAGTCTTGACCCAGCGCACCTTGTTCGCCGACGCGCCTTCACGCCGGCCACCTCGACAACCATCCAAACGCCCTCGGCCACCTCTGCTCGGCGCTTCCTCGTGCCGGTCACGACCTGGCCTCGACGACCGCCACCATCCCCTCGAAGAGGCTCGAGAAGGCACCCCTACCTTGGCAGCTAGCCGACGCCGACCACTTCTTCATCTGCCCTTTGTCGGACCATCGATATCCGGACAGACTCATCCCACGACTCGCCAGCATTCAAGCGTCTCCTCTGCAGCAGCCTGCTCTACGAACCACTCCGGCTGCACCAAGCTCATTCACCACCATTCGCACCCGCCTCGTCACCTGTCAAGCTCCTCGTTCGGAGTCGAAGAGACCAAGCGCCTTGGCCCTGGCCGACACTACTCTCTGGATCTCACAGTGTATCCCTCATTGGTCGACTCAGCACCCCAAGAACGTGCCTGACCCGCCGCCGTCCTCTCCTCGCTCGACGGCGCCTTCCTTTTCCAAAGCACATCCTGCCCTACGAATAGGCCTCTCGACCATCGCTCGTCGCGTTGGTCTTTGCAACTGCCGGTTCCAGGCTCGAGGCATCGCATTCAAAGGATCGCCCTTGTTCGACCGACGACTGGAACCATCGCTCATCTGGCGACATTTGCGGATCTCGCGCGTTCCGCCCTGTCAAACCTTGTGGACCACGTTCAGCGCGTCCGCCCACCCGAAGCCGGCACAGAAGCGCGCCTCGCGCCCGTTTGCCTGTACAGCTGCCCGAACGCGGGTCACTGCGAGCACATCGAGGCCGGTCGTTGTGCTTTCCGAAGGGTGAGTGAGCCTGCGCGAGAGGACAGAAGTGTCCCCCGTCACGCCCAGAGGTCAACGCGACAAGGCACAGACGGCGAAGAAGTATAGACTGGGCGGCAGCACGAGGAGCAGAACAGCCCGTGGCGTGAAAGCGGGTCGCTGCGCCGCTCGCTGCGGCTGAACCCCGGCTTCACCGATCGAGGTACTGGAAAGTGGAAAGCGTCCCCCGCCGAGGGCAAGCGCCGACCCTCTGCCGGTCTCTCAGACCAGCGACCAGCTGCAGGCGTCGTTGCGCTACCGGTGGGCTGGATCAGGGCGAGTGGGCGGATGGACACGTTCTCGCCCCTCCCCGAGCCTTTCGAAGGAGGTACAGCGCGCCGTCAAGGTAGCGGGCGGTCCTCAGCCCCGAACGAGGCTCCCTTAGAGAAGCCGGGAGAGCGCCGGAAGGGACGAGGAACCAGCCTTGTTCGCGCCGCCCCAACTCGCCTTCGCTGGACATGCTCTTCTGATGCACTTATTCGCACATCCCCTTGACACAGGCACAGGCCGGCACATTCACAGGCGGGAGCAGACTCCAGGGCCCGTTGTGCTACCAGCGCGCGATCATTGCCAGGAGGGCGATACCGAACGATCGACGGCGGTCTCGTACAACAGCACCCAGCAGCGTGGCTTTGAGCGGTCGTCGTTTTTCATCGCTCGACGGCGGCGGCCTTGCTCCGGGGCACTCGCAACAAGCTCAGGTTTTTCAGTTCGGCGCTCCGAGGCCGACCCAGGTTTCCACACGCCCCGTCCCTTTGGCTGGGCGGCACGACATCCTCTGTCTCATTCGCGGACCCTCGATCCGACCAGCAGCCCGCGCGCCTTCGGAGCAGTGACCCGTACGTCGTCAGCGAGCAAAGCCTTTGCCCCCACCCGCCGCTCGGTCCCTGCACGCTCAGGCGGACGCGTGGAAGCGGTGGCCAACGAGGCATTCCGATCGGACCTGCCGCTACCGCCACGTACTTTGCCGTCGACCCTGCCGCAGCCGCAGCCAGGACTGGTCATCTCTGATCTTGGCGATCTCGACAAAGGGTTCTCTCGACCGCTCGACGGAAGCGCTCTTCCCTGACGCTCTCAACGCTGCTCTCTTCGGGACAGAACAGTGCGCCTGCTGGCGCCACCTGCAAACGGAGGGAGCTCGGTCCAGCGTCGCCCAACGGCACCTCAATTTCGGCGAACAGAAAGGAGGGCCCTTGTGCGCACGGATCGCCGCTCGGCCAAAAACCTTAACCTCTGCGACCTAGAGCCAGGCAAGGAACAAGCTCGACACTAGCTCCGCTGCGCCCTCGCTCGCTCTCACACAGACAAAGGGCAGACCGTATCGATCGTGTCCCTGCGAAGGGCGACCAAGAAGCAGATCGAAAGAGTGAGGTCCGCACGGTCCCCCCCTTCGCCTTCGGTCATCCCCACGCTTGCTCCCTTCGACTTTCGGCTCGTTCCGAACGGGCATCCCCGGACTCGCCGCCTCCCGGCCGTACTGTACTGCTGCGCTCTCGCGCACGTACCCGTCTTTGCTGCTTGAGCTCGGACGAGCCGTCAGCATCCGGCACTCGATCCCGAAGGCCAGGCGTGGGTGCCGACACTTGACTGCCACCGCTACCGCCACCGCCGCCACATCTGCCCATTCCAGACGAGGCTTGGGTGTCGACAAGAGGACGGCAGAGGCAAACGGCAGCGACTACTACATCGCCCTCCTGCGAGCCGCCGTGTCTGAGCACGTCGCACGCCACGCCTTGGATCTGCATCTGCACGCACGGCTCAACGTCGCGCTCCGACCGACGCCCCCCCCTTCCAACCTTGGCTTCCGTCCCACGCCCCTCCGACGGCACCACTCCGTCCGACATCCTGGCGACGCCGCCCCTGATCCAGACCGGCACGCAACGCTTTACCCGCCGCTGGCCTTGGTTGAGCCGAGCATCGAGCATCGAGCCATCCGATCCCAGCACCGCCCTGCTTTGCCCTGCTCAGCCAGCCGGCCAGCCAGACAGCCCGCCCTATCGAGTCACACCAACTCGCCCCGGACCTCGCCGGCATTGGCCGTCAGCACACGGAACCGGCGTCCTTTGATCGCCGCGACTACAAGCTCGACACGAGCAAAACCTTGCGCCGGCTTGACCCGCCCGCAGGCCTGCCACCGTCGGCCAGAGAGAGGGCTGCGCTCGCCACCAACTAGGCCAGGCTCCTGCTGCCATCTGCAACCTCGCCGAGCAGAAGAGGCCTAGCGCCTTGCTTGCCCAACACCGCCGCCTGCCACAAGCGAGCGGACAGGACGGCCCCGTCGGTGCCCGGGTCCAGCACGGCGCGAGAGGCGGCTAGAGAGGGGAGTGTGAGAGAGAGGGCAAGAGAGAAAGAGCAGATCAGAGAGCCGGTCCTGCCCCGACTGCTGCGCAGACCTTTTCCACCGGTCTGCGGAACCCCGGAACGGATCGCGGCGGCGCAATAGTCCCACGCAGGCACCGGAGGATATCGCCCAGGCCTGCCTCGCCATCGAGATTATTGGGGCCTCGCTCGCCCCCGTACACTGGTGGGAACGGCGCGCGCGCGCGCTCTGCTGCTACCGACGTCCGCCAGGCAAGCTGCTCTGACCCAGATCCGGATCAGCTTCCTCGCCTCCCCTTTCTCATCCACCAACCTCGGTCAGCGAGGGCTGCTCCTCGCCGCAACGCGCCGACTCGCCGGCGTGCAACGGCAGGCGATCGCACAAGCTCAAGGCCCGCGCCCGCCCCCCTTTCTGACGGCAGAACCATTGCCTCGCCGACGTGCGTCTGCTGCCGTCTGCTGATTGGTCGCTGAGCAGCCATCCTCAGGCACCCCTGGTGCCGCTCCCCTGGTCCCGAGCCCAGCCAGCACGCACGTACGGCCCAGCCCGGCCTTGCTCGGTGCGCCGTTAACCTTCTGCGCCACCGCGTGATCGCCTTGCAAAGGCTAGGCTGGCTCACCAACCTCGCCGCCGGCTTCTCAGAACCGGATTGGCCAGGACCTACTCTGTCCTGCCCTGTCCTGCCCCGCCCTGCTCTAATCTGCCCTCGTCGGACGTTGTTCAGCGGCGACTACCAACAAACGAGCGACGACGAGCGTACGTGCGTGCCAAGAAAGGGGACCAGCGTCTCCCCTCTGACACATCGGCCGACACCTTGAGCTTTCCCCACGCTACCGCCTCCAGCCCACCTTCGCCCCCCGACTCATCCCTCGGCCTCGATCTCGTCCGCCCCACAGGGTGTCGTCATCGGCCAGCCATCGTTGGTGCTGCCGTTGCCGATACGAGGCACGGGGCTGGTCGCGACAGCAGGCCAGGCCAGGCCAAGCACTTCGGAGCCCGTCGGACCTGACTTCATCTCGTCGTCGCCTCCTACTGGCCCCCTCTCTCGCCCGTCCCCTGCCTCCGCTAGCCGCCTGTCGACGGAGCAAGGCCCCACCGCACTGAGACACGACGCATCCCCAGTGTCTCTCGTTGGCTGCGACCCCCCCGCCATTGCCCCAGCCGTGCCCCACAGTGCCACAGCTTCGGCACACGTACGCACGCTGCGTCCGACCTGCATCTTCCGTGCTCAGCCACGTCAGCTGCCGCTATAAGGAAGCCCTTGCCCCGCACCGTCCTCGATCTCTGCCGGCCGACCAGCACGACCAGGACGCCATCCCCTTCTCTACACGACAGACTTCACCCTCTTTTCAGCAACCGCTTCCCGGATCTTGCCCTTCCTGCACGACCCCCTCCACAGGCGATCCCGCGCATACCCTCTCTCTCCACAGATACCTGCCGATCGCCCAGCGGCACGTTCGACGAAGCCCTAGCCCGTCATCGATCCTCTGGCTCTGCGGCAGCCGCCAGAGATTTCTTCAGAGCCAGGTGGGTTTTGCGACGTGTGCGCGGGCTGCCGAGGCGGCCCCTTTGTCCCCAGCGACGAGAGGGCGGGACGCCGCCAGGGCTGGCACCGCCTCGACGCTGATGTCGCTTCGCGCGGATCACATGGCTGACGTGTCTCTCCTTCGATCTTGCCTCCCCTGCTCCGACACGCGAGCAGCGTCTAGAGCGGTCTCGGCGATTGACCCCGCGGTCGGCAGCACAAGCGGCGACGTCTCTTGCCTGGCAGCGCTTCCAGCGAAGGGCATCACATCTCGCACTACTGCCCTGCCCACACGCCAGCACGAGTCCAAGATGAGCACCATCAACAAGGGCACGTTCCAAGGCTACGTGTGAGCATCCCGCCAGCGTCACCAGCTCGGACTCTTGTTCATCGCTGCCTGTCCTTTTCTGACGTTGCGCTTCCTTCCCTCACCTTGCCTCTCGCCGTCTCGCCGCAGGTCTTCGACGCAGGATGCCCTGCTCATCTTCGAGGCCGTTCGCCGAGGCATCATGCCGAAGATCACCCGCCGCCTGCGCGAGGACGAGAGGGGCCTGATCAAGAGCGGGACCGTCTTTGTCTTCGACGAGCGCGAATCGGGCATCAAGAGGTGGACCGACGGCCTCCTCTGGAGCCCGAGCAGGATCCTGATGAACTTCCTGGTGAGTCGGCGTTGTCTAAACGCCCCATGCTCCAGAGACACACTCTTGGTTGTCTCCTGTCATGCCGGCCCTGCCACCTCCGTGACCCCTCGCCAGCCTCTGGGCGTCCTGCCTGACCATCCGACGTGCTTGTCCGCGCGTGCCCACTGCCCCCGTCACAGGTCTATCGCCAGATCGATCGAAAGTCGGTGCGGCCTCCCCCGGATCAGCCGGCCTTCGCCACATCCCAGCCAGGTTTCCCGCTGCCGAGCGCACCGATAGAGTCCTCGCTCTCCAACTCAGCACAGGGCAACGGGCTGCGGCCGTTCGGGATGTCGCACTCGGGCAGCCTCGAGGAGGCCGGAATGGTGGGCTCGCTCGCTCCGTACGCCGCCTCGTCCAATCCGGGTCTCTCGACCTCGTCGTCGTCGCTAAGCGCCTACCACGATACCAGCAGCGGACTTTCGGCAGCATACACGACACAGGCGCAGGCGGCAGCCGGCATGGTCGTCCCCGCTGCAGCACCGACGGCTGCCAGCCGCAGGGACAATGAGCTCGAGAGGAGCCTCGTGGGCAGCCTCACCAACAGCTACCCGTTCCTCAAGGACGGCCTGTGCAAGAAGGTGAGCACACGCGACGATCGCACGCCGCTGGTGCCGAGCTCATGCTCGCGAACGACGCTGACTCGTTTCGGTACCTCGCTCCTCCTACACTCTGCCGCCCGCTTCCTCTCCCGCAGACCATCTCGATCCAGGTTGAGGGCTCGACGCAGCACCTCATCTCGTACTACACGGTCGAGGATGTGCGCTCGGGCAGGCTGCGAACGCCTTCGTCGCTGCCAGAGATTGCGGCGCTCTGCATCTCGCCGATCTTCCTCAACAAGTCCAACTTCCGCAACCCGCCGCACATCGAGTACGGCCCGGACGGCATCCCGCGATACCGCGGCGATGCTTCGGACGGTGCATCGAGTCGTCTGCCGGGTCACCACTCTGGCAGCGAGGGGACCTCCTCTGGCAGCGATTCGCGGGATGCCCGAAGCCTGCACAGCCCCGGGAGCGCCATGGCGCTGTACTCGCCCTCGATCGCCTCGGACGGCTCGCAGCAGATGGATGCGTACTTCAGGCACGCCCACCAGATTGGCGGCTCGGGCTCCCTGACGACGACCGCGGCCTCTTCGGGCGCCTCCTACCCGGGCCACCGGAGGGCTTCGGACGCGCAGCTCCGCCGCAGCTCCAGCCGATACGAGCCGTACGCGGTCGCTGGCCACTACGGCCACAGTTCGACCAGCTCGCCCTATTTCAGTCCGACGGGCACGCCGTACTACCAGTCGCCGGGTGGGCACCCGGCCACGTCGGCGCTGAGCCGCAAGGGCTCCAACGCCTCAGTCTCGGCACGCAGCTGGACCATGTCCAATGCCGGACAGTCGTCGAGCCCAGGCCAGGCCGTGACGCCGCTCAACTTCCCTAGCACAGTCAACCAGGGATCCTCGCTCTTCGGCTCGCATCACGGCGACTCGACCAACCTCTACGACGCCGCCTCTTCGTCCGAGTCGCTCTACCCGGTGGCGTCCGGTGGTGCGGCAGCGAGCTCGGGCCTCGACCAGAACCAGCAGTCGGCGTCATCCTCGGTCGCGTTCCCCCTGCGCTTGCCGCCATCTTACTCTTCCGACACGACGGCGACTGCGACCGTGGCAGCGTCGCAGCACTCTGCCCTCGGGACAGCGTCGAGCAGGACAGATGCGACCGCGAGCAACGGGCAGACCAACAGCACCTTCAGCTGGACGCGCCCGTACCGGGGCAGCTGGGACTCGGCGCAGACGACGGCTCCCGCTGCCGGCGCAGAAGGCTACGCTCAGGACTTTCATCCCCCTCCTCCTGCCACGAGCCAAGGCTTGACGGCACTCTCGCTGTACTCGCAGAGCGGTCTGGGCAGCTCGCGCATCACCACCGCCGAAGAGGCACAGCCGTCGCCGCCGCCGACCAGCTCGTCGTACAGCAGCCACCACTCGTTGATGGGGCAGGCCAACACGCACGCCAGCCTGTCGGCCAACCACTCGGCGGCCATCGAGACGTCGTTTTCCCACCGCAGCCACAGCGAGAGCCTGGCGCACGCGCTCGACGAGCACCGCAAGCCGTCGTCGAGCAGCTACGGATCGAGCTACCACATGCCGCCGCCATCGGCGCCGGCGACGAGGTGGCAAGCGACGCAGGACCAGTTCGACTCCGACCAGGCCGGCGTCTTTTCTTCGGGCACCTCGCTCGTCGGCAGCCGAGGCGAGCTGGGCGAATCGACCCACTCGCTCGGCAGCATGAGCTTCCATGCCGATGGGAGCCGGCCGCAGCACTCTCTCTGGCCATCCGAGGGCGACACGGCCGACGACTCCACGGCGATCAAGCGGGAGGAGATCTGGGACCTGGGCAGCGAAGACGCCGCACCGGCGCGCTCGCGATTCGACGCCCAGGAGGCAGCGGGAGGCCAGGCAAGGCGGGACGACGTCGACTCGAACGCGGCGGGATCGAGAGATGCTGGTCTTGAGAGGGTCGTCCTCACCAAGCCGGCAATTTGAGCGCGGCTACGCCCGAGTGCCTCGCCGATGGCATCCAAGCCCTCCGCCGAGACCCGCCCGACGAAGGTGCCGGCTCACGGATCCGGCCCGCGACCTTTGATCGCGCCCCGGCAGGCCCACGCTCCGCTAACGCTGCAACGGGCTCCACGCATCCTGGCGCTGCGTGTCGGGATGTGATCGTCCCGTTCTCCATCGACCCGCCCTGACGCCTCTCTCGCGGCCTCATGCTCTTCGTTTCCTTCACCTTGCTCGCCGCCTCTGCTGCTCCACGCTTCGGCTCCTTCCACTCCTCGCCCCCGCCCTGTGTATCACCACGACACCGCCGCCGATCCAATCCCTGCGCGACTACTGCTCTGCCCCATGGCTCCCGCTCCGCTCTCTACCTCGGACGCAGCCTGCGTAAGGGCTTCGGGTCGAGACGCCACCGCTCTCGCTAGAGCAACGCTTCTCTTCCCGGCTGCTCTCCTGTATCGGCTCGACTGCTCGCCCACCGTCCTTTGTGTCGATATCGCCTCCGAGACCCGCGCCGCTGTCTCGCCGTCTCCACGGCCATCCTGTCTGCACGGCCGCCGCGGCGCGCCGTGATGTCCTCGCCCCCCCCGGGGCTCTGGCCCCCCTCCTGTATCGTCGCTGTCACCGCCGCCACTGCTCCTTGCTCGTGTGAATCAAAGGGTCGTCGCAGCGCAAGTCCGCTGCGGCGTTGCATCGCCGTCTGATGTCGCCGCTGTCGTCGAGATGAGAGCGGTCCAGATACGTGGATGCGGATGGACGGTGGGTGGATGCGCCAAGGCCGTCCGTCGAGAGCAATCAGGTTGGGGGAACCGGTCGGCCCCACGCGTCGCATGGCAGGCCAGGCCACGCCACGCTGCTGGATTTCGGATCCGGACGCGGATCGAGTTGGATGGAGGGGGAAAACGGCGGGCGAGCCACAGCGGCAGGTCAACAGAGACTCTGGCACCACCATCTCGTCTCACCTCGAACCACCCTCACCAACGCCTGCCATCGCCTTCATTCATCCCCGACTCGCGCTGCGCCGACCTTTGTGCGCCGCGCCCTTCGAACGTCCACAGCGCACCGGCTGCCAGGCGCACACGCATCGACCGCGGCTGGGAGCTCACTTTGTCGACCCGCGTTTCCATCCAGAGCCGCCCGCCCTGGCTCACCCGCGGCGCGCCATGGCTCCTGCCGCCGACCCGGGCTCTTCGCAGCCCGCGGCATCGCGGCCTACCCAACCTCCTCCCGCTTCGGCCGTTTCCCTTCACGGCATGCCGTCAGGAGCGGCGCCGATAGCTTCCAGCGCTCAGAACCAGCGGCCGCCAGCGGCTCCACAGTCTCAGTCTCAGCCACCACCGCAGGCGCAGTCGCAGTCGCAGCCGCAGCAGCCGCCCCAAATACAGGCCCAGGCCCAGGCACCAACACCAACGCCAACACCAACACCAACAGCGGCTCCGATACCGACACCGACACCAGCACCAGCATCAGCACCAGCACTGACACCGACATCGACATCGACACCGACACCGACACAGCCGCGGCCCCTGCCCCAGTCCCAGCCCCAGTCGCGATCGCATTCGCTGGCCCAGTCGCAGCCGCTGTCGCGATCCCTGTCGCTTTCGCAGCCGCAGCCTTCCATCCACCTACATCCGCCATCGCAGCCACCATCCCAGCCGCAGCCGCAGCAGCAGCTATTGTCCCTGTCGCTCCAACCCACATCGGCACCAACACCCACCAACAGCGCTTCCACGCCTCATCCACAGCCCTTCACGCCGACCCAGCAGCAGCAGCAGCAGCAGCCGCAGCAGCAGCATGCCGCGGTGACCCATCCCGCCTCGGTGGCCGCCGCCGCCGCGCTTGCACTCTCCGCCATCTCGCTCGATCCAAACGACTGGAATGCGCTTGCATCTACCAGCATGGTCACGCTCGAGGACCTACGCGATGCCTTCGCCGACTACAAGCAGAAGCAGCTGCGTGAGCTCCAAGAAGCCCACAACGAGGAGCTTCGCGAGCTCCTCTTCATGACCGAGGCGTACGACAGGGACGATGTCCCAGGCTGCCCCGCCAAGCTGCCCAAGAGCTCCCTCGCGCTGCCCGCCGACGACGCCAGAGAGCACGTCGTCGCCTTCCTGCACACCTACCGACTATCGCAGGATGACGAGGGCAAGTCGATCCGCGAGCATGACCTGCCACAGCCCAAGCTGCTCCGCGACCGACTCGTCGAGGAGCTCGGAACGGGTCCCGTTGAGCTTGCGCCTCCCCCGACACCATCGACGTCGGCGTCTATGGCGTCCGCCCTCGAAGCCCACCGCGAGCGTGAACGGCAAAAGGAGCAGGAGCTGTTGACCAAGGCAGCGGTGCTTCGCAGCGCAGCGATTGCCAAGGCAGCCTCGGCCGTCCAGGCAAGAGCCCGCATCTCGGGAGCGACCAGCATCCAGCCTCTAACAGTGACGACAGCTGCCTCTTTGCAGTCGCAACCGCTGCCAGCTATGCCGGCCGCTGCCGTCACGACGCCCACCACGCCCCTTGCGGCCCCTCTCTCCGCTTCCTCGTCATCGTTGGTCGAAGCTGCCACAAAGGCTGCAGTCTCATCCGGCAGCGGCCTCACGCTGCAAGATCCGGCAGGGGCTGCGATGCAGACGCCATCGGCACCAGTCCCGCCTCACGCTGCCATGGGCGCTCAGACGGCAGCGACAGCGGCGGCAGCGGCAACATTGAGCCCGACAAAGTCAAGCTCAAAGGTCGAGGTTCCGTCACCCGACAAGAGCACAGCCCTCCCCGGCTCGATCCAGAAGGCCGTATCGCCGGCTCCGGGTCTGCTCCCGCCGGCCGCCAGCGATGGCCCCGGGCTCCGACTGCCACCATCGCCGACCTCGGTCCCCATCCTTCCCGACCTAGCTGAGGCCCCGCCTCTCCACCCAACTCTGCAGGCCCTTGCTCCCAATCCGCTCTCGGTTACATATGCCGCCTCGCTTCGACCGCTGCCCCCGGATCCGAACCGCAGGATCACCGGCGGCGGCGTGGGCGGAGGCGCCATTCATCACCGCAGCGGCCGCAAGGTCCCGCCCCCTGGCGCCTCGAACGGCATTGCATCTCTCGGCCCTGGCGCTGCCGCCGCCTTCCGGTCGGCCATGAACATCGGCCCTGCGGGATCGGGCCAGGCGGATCTTTGGCGTTGGTACGTAAGGGCGCGGGCGAGCCCGGGTGCCGGCATGGTCGGCAAAGCCGACAAGTGCCTCATGACGAGCGACTGGAAGGTGGCCTTTACGGAGCAGAGGTTTGTCCGGGCCATGGCGCGGATCGAGAAGCTCAAGGCGCAGGGGGAGTGGAGCTTTCGCCAGCCTAAGAAGCAGAAGGGTCCCGTGGTCCACAAGTCGCACTGGGATCATCTGCTGGAGGAGATGAAGTGGCTCCAGACCGACTACAAGGAGGAGAGGCGGTGGAAGCTTGCGGTCGCGTTCCAGCTCGCCCACGAGATCGCGGCCTGGCACCGGGCCAGGACGCCGGCAGAGCGCGCCGCCTTCTGCATCTCGGCAAGAGGGCCTCGCAGGCATGCTACCTCGCCGGCAGCCCCCAAGAGCTCCCAGGACGACGTCCGCCAGGCTGCAGCTCGTGCGCCAGACTCGGACGACGTCGAGATGACGCCAGCGGAGCCGTCGACAGACGCCGGGTCATCCGCTCCTGCTGCTGCCCCCGCGAAATCGGCAGCGGCTCACGTCTCTTTCCAGGATCCACCCGCGGATGAGAGCGCTGCCGCCGGCGACCCGGCAATTGCAGCTGCTGTCGACGAAGCGGTCCAGGACACCGACGCAACGATGGCCGACGTCGATGCCGACGGGGAGGACGACATGGATGCCGAGGGCGAGGACGATGATGGCGACGGCGATGCTGTGTCCAGAGATGTCACGGGCGCGGACGAGGTCACTGGAGAGCCCTCGAAGCCACCGCCCGTCGAAGTCGTCCACGAGCGGAGGGCCACCCCAACGCCGATGCCGGCGCTGGCGGACCAGGGTCCTGCCACCGCCGATGCAAAGGTCAACGTCCCCCTCGGCGGCGAAAGCGGCGCTGGCAAGTCGTCGGATGCGCAGCAGGCTGCCAGTTCCGGCATCCGGAGCGAGGCGCAGAGCAAGGACGTCACCCTCGCCACCGAGCTCCCGCCTCATCTCGTCACCACCCTGCGCGCGCCGATCTTCTCGATGGATGTCGGGGCGACGATCGTCTCGCCCGCCGCACTGCTCGAGTCTCTCGACCCCGAGGCCGCGGCCGCCATGCTCGGGATCGAGGTGACTGACCTGCCCTCTGCTGTCGGTTCCTTGCAGCCTGACGAGCTCAGCTTCAGCAAGATGTTTCCGGAGCTGCCCATGTATGGCGGTCCGCCTGCTCCCGATGCGTCGACCAAGAGCGACCGACGCTGGGACGAAGGTAGTCTCAACCAGCCCCCGAGGTTGACGCACGTCACCAAGCTGCTCGACTCCAAGCCGCTGCTGGTCAGCACGCTCGAGCCCTCCAAGAATCGGGCGCAGGGGAGGTGGATCGACGACTGCGACTGGATCATCGCCGCGGAGCAGTCGGATCCGCTGCGCGGCATGCCCGACGGGATGGATCAGATGCCTGGAGCGCCTCAGCTGCCCGGGTCCCTCCTCTTCGCGTCGCGCCGGACAAGCAAGGCGCTGCGTGACCCTGTCCCCTCCTCGACGGGCATTCCTGCCTCGCCCGCCTCGCCCGACGCCCGAGCGGCCATGTTCATGTGGACGCCGGAGGAGGATGGCTACCTGCTGGCGCTGGCAAAGCAGTACAACAACAACTGGTCGCTCGTCTCGGACCTCTTCAACTCGACCCGGCTCACGGTGGCCACCGATCGACGCGAGCCGTGGGACTGCTACGATCGGTGCAAGCGGATCCAGCAAGCCGCGGACGAGGGCAAGCCGCCACCGGGACCTCCGCAGCTGGCCCCACCGCCGCAGTCCTCGTCTTCTGCCTCGGCGGCCTCGGACAAGAAGGGAGGCGCTGTTGCCGGCGCAGCGTCGTCAGACGACAAGGGCGCGGCCAAGGACAGCAGCTCCCCGGGCATCGGCGGTGCCGCCAACGCTCTGACGGCCAAACGCGACAAGATCAACAAGAAGCTCGGCACGCGGTACGACGGCTCCAAGAAGAAGCTGCGCAGGGTCAACCTGCTCGAGATGATGCGCCGGTCGGCCAAGAAGCGCGAGGCGGGCAAGCAGTCGCAGCAGTCTTCGCAGGCCAAGAAGGTCAACCTCAACTCGCACGAGACCCACGCCCAGATCAAGGCGGGTCCGGCGGCGACGCCCCAGGCGCTTAGCGCCCTCAAAGCCGAGCGGGATCAGGCGGCGCTGCGGCAGTACTACGAGCAGCAACGCGCGCACCTGGCGTACCAGCAGCAACAGCAACAGCAGCAGAGGCTCTTGGCACAGCAACAGGCCCAGGCACAGGCACAAGCCCAGGCGCAAGCTCAAGCTCAGGCGCAGGCGCAGGCGCAAGCTCAGGCTCAGGCTCAAGCTCAGAACCAGAGGAACGCGCCGCAGCAAGCGACATCCATGCCGCAGCAGCAAGGCCAGATGCAGGGCCAGCCGCAGATGCCGCAACACCCACAGCAACATCAGCAGATGCCTCAGGCGCAAGGGCAGAAACAGAACGTGCCGCAGCAGCAGCAGTCCACCGGGCCCGTTCCGCAGTCGCAGCCAACATCGAATCCGGTGCAACAGGCCCACGCCAATCAGCAGATGCAGAACCTGTACGCCCAGATCCAGCAGCAGCAGCAGCAACAACAGCAACAGCAGCAACAGCAGCAGCAGCAGCAGGTTCGTCCGCCGCCGATGATCAACAACCTCCAGCCGCCGCGACCGCCGCAGCTCAATGCGCAACAGATGCAGCAGCTCACGCCTCAGCAGCAGCAGCAGTACCAGGCGCAGCTGGCCGCTGCCGCCGCCGCACAACAGCAACAGCAGCAGCTGCGGAACCAGCAACAGCAGCAGCAGGCCAAGGCGATGCAGTTCTCGGTCTCGCAGGCCCAGGCGGCGTTTTCGACGATGGCGGCCAACCAGGCCAGCCAACTGGCTGCCCAGCGCCCGATGGCGGTGCCGACGCCCATGCCTCAGCAGCAACAGCAGCAACAGCAGCAGCAGCAGGCCCAGGTTCAGGCCCAGATGCAACAGCGGCAACAGCAGCAGCCGCAGCAGCAGGTCCGCCCGATGCAGCAGCAACAGCAGCAGCAGTCCGGCGCTGCGCCGCCGCCGCCGCAGCAGCAGCAGCAGCAGGCGCCACCGCAGGGGCAGCCTCAACAGCAGCAGTACGGCGGCGTGCGGCCGCTGGGTGGTACGCCGAGGCCGCAGCCAGCCAACGTCCAACAGCAGCGCGCCATGAACTCGGCGAGTCCGGCCATGGGCCAGGCGCAGACGAGCGGCAACAGCGTACCCGCCGGCATGCCGAGCACGATCCAGGCGCTGCAGCAGCAGCTCGCCATCTCGCTGGCCACCTCGAACCTGAGCCAGGAGCAGGTGAGTACCGACGGCCATCCCAACAATTAACCCTGCCTTGCCAGTGCCGCATTCTTTGCTCCGTGGCCGCCTCTCGGCTGACCCCAAACCCACATTCGTCCTCTCACCCTTGCGCAACGACAGATCAACGGCCTCGCCCTGCAGCTCTACAAGCAGGCGCAGCAGCAGTACGGGCAGCAGAACCCGAACCTCAACGGACAGCAGCGACCCGTCGGCGTCCACTCGCCCCAGACCCAGGTCCGACCGGGTCCTCCCCAGCCCCAACAGCAGCAGCAGCAGACGCAGCAGCAGCCGAACAAGGGCAACAACACACAGCAGGGCGGGCCCGCCGGCATGCAGCGTCCGGCTGGACAGCAGGGCTGAACAAGGTCTCGATGCGGCGGCACGGTGTTCAGAGCAGGCGGTCAGGACGACAGTCGGTCGTGGTCGAGTATGGGCAAGGAAGCGGCGCCAAACGAGGCGGGCGGAGATGGGGAATCGATTCATAGAGGACGCCTTCGACGAGGCTCGACAGCTGAAGCGCAGCGTTCTACCGCGACGATGCCGAAACACGAATGCAGCAGGGCCGTACGCTACGGCGTGACGAAGACGACGCGAGACAGACACAGAGAGAAGTGGCAAAGGGAGGCGGGGGCCCCTGCCCTGATCCACCTCCCCGACGATGGCGAGAAGAAGACGGCGGCGACGAGACCGACGGGGCAAGGCTGGTGTGGCGGCGCGATCAAGACTCGAAAGAACCGAGCGACCAAGACCAGAGGGCAGAGAGACCGACGCAAGAGTAAGCCCCGTTGAGTTGCCGTGCCTCGCTCAGTCACACCCCGGGTCGAAGAATCTTCTCGGGGGGTGGGGGTGAGGGGGGCACGGTGACCGCATGACTATCAGCCTTTGCTGCGCCGATTCCCCCCCGACCCCGAGGGGAAAAGGGGGGACCGACGGAGACGAAAGGGAGAATGACGAACGAAATCAGAGCATCTCAATCGCACCAGTGGGCGATGAGGAAGGGGTGTGGGCATCGAGACTGGTTGATCTGTCTGCGGGCGAACCTCGGGAGAGGACTGCAGAGGACGAGAGAAGAAGAGAGACAGAGGGACGCGCGGGGGAGGTCCAACGAGGCTCGGTGCACGGAGGCTCGTATCTTTGCCAGACCGCGCGCCGTTGAGCGCCTCGAGCGGACCTCCCGCGTCGTCCCCCGATCTCTATCCTTCTCCCACGATGCCCTCGCAGGCCCAAGGACGCAACTGTGCAAGACGAGATCCCAAAGGTCATCGACTGAGACCAGGTGCGGTCGAGGTGATGGCGAAGTGAGGCTCAAACGAGGCCAGACGGAAACGAGGGTTGGATCCGTCTCCCCGGTTCGGTGCCCCGTACGCGCGCAGGGTACTTCCGAGATGTTGGTCGGTGGATGCGAGAGAAAGGGGAGAAAGGGGCGGTGGCGAAATAAGGGAACGGGTGAAGACGACGTCTAGCCTGATCCCGCCCGCGTAAACGGACAGGGGGACGTCGCACCAGCCCTCGCCTCGCGCCGCACCGCGAGCGGAGCAGCGCGACAGAGACCGCCCCTCCATGGTTCCCCTCCCTCGCCGCAGCCGCGACTACTGACCTCGGTTCCCCAGCGAGCTCCAGGACGGTGATCCGGGTCGAGCGACGGCCAGGTCTCTCCGTAAGGCCTCTCGCCAGGTGCGCATCCACCTCCAGTCGCAGCATAGCCGCACGCAGCCGCCAAGACGACCTGCGAGCGAAGGGCAGCAGGGTGAAAAAGAAGCAAGATGCCCGGAAACGTCGGGGCCGGACCGGCTCGGCGAGATCGAGTCGTACCATTACGGTGACGGCCGCTTTCCGCGATGCGAGTCTCTGGATCCGGACGCCCTTCCAAACAGATCTGTGCTCTCCCCATGGCGCTGCCCCTCTCGGTCGCCTCGTGCAGCCACGACGGAGCCCGCCCCCCCTCACCTGCGTCGCGAGACGACAGAGCGGGAGGGCGATGGAGCTGGAGGCTTGCCAACCGCGTGTACCTGTCCGTATGGTGGTGGTGTGGATGTGTCCGGGGACTTTCCCTACAGCGTGTTCTGGGGCCCCCCCGCGAGGAGGGTCAGAAAGGGGCTGCAATAAGGTTAAGCGGTCCTTTGCGGGTCTCTCTGGATGGATGGTGGTCGCCGGTTACTTTCGAGCCGTTGCGCCGACAGCATGTCGCGTCGGTTGCTCGCAGAGTCGTCTCGGTCCCGGCTTCGTCAAGAACAGAGAAACAGGAAGGCGGCGACCGCAACGTGTCAAGGCAGGAATGAAGGCAGTGACGACCCCAGCGTAGGCGATTCCGTCCCCGATGCGTCATTCTGAGCCTCCAAAAGGCTCAGGATGGCGTTTCAGGAAGGATCAACAAAGCTGTTGCCGTCCAGGTCGAGCGGGCACGAGAGCGGCGGCGAGGCGAGCCAGGTATCTGCAGCCAACCAGCCGCAAAGCACCGGCCAGCTCTCGCCCCTGCTCCTCGCGGACCGCAGACCAGAATTGTGCTTGTTCGAGACAAAGCTTGTGTGGTGTGTGGCGTGTGTAAAAACAGAGGTGGTGGTGGTTGGAGAGACGAAGAAGGTGGGAGCGAGGCCATGGAGCCATGCTCTGCTGGCGCCGAAGAAGCAAAAGAGAAAAGAAAAAAATCTGCGGGACTGCCAATCGAGGCTGCGTGATGACTCTCTCGGGCGAGTGTCGAGAGAGTTGTGGTGTGACGTAGACCCTTGACCCACTTGGGCGACCCCCCTGGCTCGCTGTCTCGGTCTCTGTTGAGCCCTGCCTGGTTGGTGCTCCACTTTTGCGAGCCCCACGCACCGGGCGGCAGCGAACGGTTGCCCTCGCGCTGTGAAAGGCAGCCCAAAGGCAAGCAGACTACCGCCACCAACCACCACCATCACCACCACCACCACCACCACCACCACTGCCGCTACTCCTAGCCTCTTCCCTTCTCGTTCACGCCATCAATCTAACGGCACACGATCCCGTATCACGACTGCAACGTCAACCGCCACGAACTACCCAGGCCTTGGGGCGAACGCAGCACTCGCCCGCGCGCAACATCTCACAACATCCTCGACTGACCCGCCGTCCACATCCGGCCCCGCACACACCATGTCCGGCACGCCATCCGACATACCCACGCTCAAGGTGCTGCTCATCGGCTCCTCGTCGGTGGGCAAGTCGTCGCTCCTGTTGCGCTTCACCGACGACGAGTTCCTCTCGCCCGAGGAGACGTCGGCCACCATCGGCGTCGACTACCGTATCAAGGGCATCGAGGTCGGGGGCAAGCGCTTCAAGCTCTCCATCTGGGACACGGCGGGCCAGGAGCGCTTCCGCACCCTCACCTCGTCCTACTACCGCGGCGCCCAGGGCGTCATTGTCGTCTACGACGTCACCCAGCGCGACACGTTCGACTCGCTCCCCACGTGGTTCAACGAGCTCGAGACGTTCACCACCAGCCAGGACGTCGTCAAGATTGTCGTCGGCAACAAGGTCGACAAGGAGTTTTCCCGCGTCGTCACCACCGAAGAGGGAAAGGCGTTCGCCGACAAGATGGGCTGCCTCTTTGTCGAGTGCAGCGCCAAAAAGGGCGTCGGCGTCAACGGCGCATTCGACGAGCTCGTCAACACCGTGAGTCGCCCCGCACCGACCCCAAGGTCCGTATCGGCCGCAACCTGACCTCGTCCTGACCCGGTCCATCTCCCGCCCCTCTCCCTCGTCCACGCACAGATCATCTCGACGCCGTCGCTATGGCAAAAGACGGGCCCCGGCGTGCGAAGGCCCGGCGACAGGATGCCAGGCGGTGCACCAGCTGCCCACGCCGCCGACAGCAGCAGGGGCAACATCTCGCTCACCGATACGGGCGGCTACGTCGGCTACGGCCTCGGCGTGGCAAGAGACTCGTGCAGCTGCTGATACCCCCCCTCCGTCCGCCCGTCGCCATAGATTTGTCCGCGCTCTCCTCCGATCGCACCACGCACCAGGCCTTGTACATATACCCGTCCCTTTCGCTCAGCAAGCCACCCGTCTTGCACCACGATCCGTCCAACCCACGCCGTCGCCTCTGCCTCACGTCTCCCTTACGCCTCTTTTGTCACGATTGGAAGCACGATTGACGGACACAGCCAGCATCGGAGCCGAATCCAGACGGCGGACGCTCATCGAAACCGGGAGCAGCAGAGGTATTATCGAGAGGCGCGATGCCAAGGCAAAGAGCGTGGGCGGGAAATCGTGGACGACAACGATACGAAAGCATCCTCCGAGCAGGAACGGCCGAAAGAAGGGCACAGGGTAGAAGAGGAAGGGTGGTTCAGGTCATGGGCAACGAGCGTGGGTCAAGAGGGGGAAGACGGTCCTCGAAGAGGTCAGGGAAGGAATACAGACCAGGCCAAGGCCTAATCGACGAGTCTGAGCGGAAGATTGACAGGGTCAGGGAAGGAATCCAGACCAGGCCAAGGCCTGATCGACGAGTCTGAGCGGAAGATCGACAACGGAGAAGGCTTGTCTCGACGGGCGGCTACTTGAACTTCTTGAGCTTGCCAAAGAAGCCGCGTGCTTTGCCGCCCGACGAAGACTCAGCGGCCGGCGGCGGCGCGGCGGGGACGGTCATCGCACTCTGCCCGGTGACGCCGGGGGCTTGAGGGACGGGCGGCATGACCGGCTTGCTCTCGCTCGTCGACGACGGAAGATCGGCCGAGGTCATGTAGCCGCCTGCACCGGTTCCCGGCGCCTGAGACTGGGCTTGAGCCTGGGGCTGCGGGCTCGTGCCCTGGGCAAGTTCGCTCGTCTGCGACAGAGGGGGAGGCGCGCTGATCGAAAAGAGCGAAGGCGGTGCCTGTGCAGACGCGGGAGCCGATGCGACCGAGGCGGCATCGCCACCGGTCGCCGCAGGCGCAAGCACTGAAGCGGCCGTAGGCCTCTTTGCCTTTTTCTTGGACGAGGTCGAGACCTTTGAGCGTACCGAGGCCGCCTTGGACGACTTGGATGGCTTGCCACCCGTCGCCTCGCTCCAGCTCTTGCTCGCCGAGCCGAACGCCTTGCGCGCCAGCGAGTAGCCGTCGTCGTCGTCTGCCTCTTCGTCGCTCGACGAGTCGTTAGGCTGGTCGCGGATACGCGTAGACCACCCAGATCGCTCGCGACTCGCACCGAGATCGACCGGCCCGTCGGCCTTGGTCGACACGCGGGCGGGGGCGGCAGGCGGGGGCGCGATGCGGCTGCTCAGGGCCGACGGTGTCTGGCCGGATCGAACGGCCATCGGGTCCTGGCCGCCGTATTCGTTTCCTTTGGGCGTGGCAAAATCATCGGTCGGAGTGTCCGGGGGCAGCTTGGTGTCCGGAGCCATGCGGACGCTCTTTCGCCTGGCCACGCCGTCGGAAAGGTCGCTGTGGGCATTGCTGGGCGAGACCGTCAGCATACCAGCGTCTTTGCCGGTCTCCGCCTGCTCCGGGAGAACGGCAGCAGCCGAGATCGGGGGCGCCGCCGCCGCCGCGGACAGGCCAGTCAGGACTGGATCGAGGCGGTGCTCCGGATCCGCGAGGCTGGCATTGGCCTGGACCTGAGCGGCCTGGACAGCACCCTGACTGCCTCGGACATCGTGACCGGGCTGGTGCGTAGAGGCCGAGCCTTCCTCGGAGGAGGTGTCGCTGATGTCGGGCGCGCCGACGCCGTAGACTCGGCTCGGCTGCAGAGAGACCTTGCGGTCGGTCACCCGAGTGACTGCGGCGGCCGGCTTGGATACCTCGGGCTCCGTCGGCTGCGGGTTGGCCTCATCGGCTCGGACAAACGCGCGGTAGGTCTCCTCGGCCGACGGCGTCATGAACGGCTCGCTGGACTCGGTCAAGGCCGAGCCGCGGCGCTGCAGCTCGGCCCTCGACAGGTTTTCGAGGTCGATCTTGAACGGTTCCGAGTTGGGCATATCGAGCTTGGGCATCGGCGTCTTGCTTGACTGACTGGTAGCATCTCGAGGCTCGACAGTGCTGCCCGACTGAGCCACGCCGCCTTGCGGTCCGGCCTCTGCCGACGTCGCACGACCAACGGGCAGGTCGAGATGTCCAGTTCCGTCGATGGCATCGTCCTTGCCCAGGCTCGGGACAGGACGAGAAACGGTGGCCTTGGCCTCCGCGCTCGTCGTGACAGGTGGCTTGATAGTGGCAGGCTGAGCTGCGGCACCGCTGCTGACTGCAGGCTTGGTCGCTGCAGCTACAGCCTCGGCGGCTGCATTCGTTGAAGTGACGGGAGCAGGTGCCGTTGGGACGGGTGCCATCTGAGGCTGCGGAGGCGGCGCCTGCACCGGCGTCGTCTCGTTTCGGAGCGAAGAAGATTGGGCCGGAGCGGTGGGCGTGACCTTCTTGGGAGAGAAGGAGCTGCTGTTGCTCGTGGCGCGGCTGAGGCTCGGCGCCTTGAGCGATGGCTTCAAGGGCGCAGTCTTGCTGGCCGACGACCTGATCGATGCGGGGCGGGAAGACGGCTGCAGGCCTCCATCCAAGGCCGGGCTGCGCTGCGAGCTCGACTGGGGTCGCGACGAAGGAGCTTTGGGGACAACGCCGGCCATGGCCACGGCCTCGGCCGCCGTCATCTGACTGGCGGGCTTGCCGACCCACGAGGCAGTGCTGTACTTGCCCTCGTACGGCGTGAAGGCGGTCAGGGGGCTTGATGCGCCGGCTTCGGCACCGCTCGAGGCGAGGACGCTTGTGCGTTTCTTCTTCTTGCCTGCGGAACTCTGCAGAGTCGAGCTGCGCGAGAGCCCGGGCTGAGCGGGCGCGGCAGCGTGACGCACGCCCGCGCTCGCATCGCCGGGCACGACGACCTGGGTGGGGACGGCCGGGACAGCGCTGGCGCTGGTCCTCGTAGGCGCGGTGCCGATCTCGCTGCCAGCGGTCGCAGGCTTCTTCTTCTTCTTCTTCTTGGTCTTGGTGCCGCTGGATCGGACGCTGGCGGCACCGCTGGCGATGCCGGAGTTGGACGTCTGGCCGGCGAATCCGTTGCCCACAACGGACGCGCGGATGGCTGCCAGCTTCTCGTCCTCCTCCTGCTGCGCTCGGTTGCTCAGCGGACCGGGTGTGATCCTGCTGACGCTGGGAGTGCGGATGAACTTGCCCTTCATGCCGACGTCGCTGTTGGTCTCACGGCCCCAGAGCGGCTTCGAGTTGTTGACGTGGCGGACCAGAGTGCGCGGATCAGGCTCCTCGTCGGAGCTGTCCGGCTCAGCCCTACGGATCATGCCCTTGCGCTTGTTGTCCTGCGTCTGCAAGAGGCGATCAGTCCGCGTATCCCAAGACTCCCGCTCCCGAGATGGAGGGTCCCGCAGGTCGGTCTTGAAGAGTTTCCCGACCTTGCCAAAAATCGAGTCGCTGCGCTTGACCGAGTAGCTGATGCCATCTTCAGAGCCGTTTGCGGGTCCGCGACCGGGACCTTGGTAGCTGACGCGTCCTGGTCGAGGTCCCCAGTTGGAGCTGCTCCGCCTGGGCTGCGTCTCATCATCCGACGTGTCGTCGTCGCGGCCGGTCTGGGGCGGAGGAGCTGTTGGGATGTGGCCAAAGTTCCTCGCCTGTGCAACGTCGAGGCGAGGGGCGCTCGGGACCGGAGGCATCGGGACCGAGGGCATGGCGTCCTTGGCGGGAAGCGAGGGCGCTGGACCGCCTGCGGGCGCCCGGCCGCTGGAGCCCTTCTTGGCCTTGCGCGTGTTGGAGCGGCTTGCGTTGGCGGCGGCAGCCGACTGTGGGATGTACGAGTCCTGGGTCTCTGCTGCCACGCCAAATTCGTGCGGGGCCGGGAGGTTCATGCGGGGCTCGATGAAGGCGCGCCTGTAGTCTTCCTCGCTGTCTGTGTCGGAGGGCGTGCCCTCCTGCTCCGCGACGTCGTTGAACTGCGAGGTGTACCTCTGGCCCAGCGGCACCGCGTTGCGATCGTTGTGCACCACCTGCGATGCGGACTGCGAAGGCGTGACCGAGGCAATGTCAAATTGCTGCGAGAAGCGCGGGTCCAGCTCGCGGTGGTCTGCACATCGGACGGGCGGGAGCGTCGGAGAGAGATTGTCAGTGTTTCCTTTCCTCGATACAGGAGCCAAGCAGCACGCACGACCCCCGGGGACCCACCCTGGACATCCTTGAGGAACCCGCCATGGCCGTCTGGGATCAGACCGGAGCCGTTTACGGCAGCGTGGTCGTGCCCGCCGTGCTCGCCGCCGCCAGCGTGGAAGTCTGGCTCCGCTCCGTGATCATCGTACTCGCCGTGCTCGACGCCCTCGTCGGCGTACATGCTCTCGTACTGGCCGCCTCCGCTGGCCTGGAGGAGCGGGCCGTGCGTGTCAAACTCGTCCAGAAGCAGAATCGCCTCCTTTGCTGCGTCGACCATGGCCGCGCCGGCATCGCCGAGCGTCTTCATGCGCATGGTGAGCGCCTCTTTGAATGTCCTGCGCTTGACGCCGACCAGGGCGGCCTCTTCGCTGGCGAGCACCTGCTCGCAGGCATGGAGCTCGCGCTGCGCGGCGAGAACCTTTTCGTTGCGCTCATCGTAGCTGAGCCCGTGATCCTTCTTGCCGACCTTTTTCTTGCTGGCCTTGATGAGCCGGCCGACGAGGATGTCGCGGTCGCGCACGACGGATCGGATGCTCTGCTCGCGGTCGAGGACATCCTTGAGCGCGCTCCGGTAGCCCTCGAGCGCCTGGACGTGGGTCCTCTCTGCGTCTGCGACCGACGCGAGCACCTCTGCGAGCGCTTGGGATGCGCGGGCGATGTCGGGCGCCTCCGAGGTGCCCCAGGCGGCTAGAGCGCTGGCGGCGGCATAGGCGGACGCCGAGCTAGAGGCGAGGTTGTCAATGTAGCTCTTTTCGCCCTTGATGAGGTTCTGGAGGAGGCGCGAGTCGGTGGGGTGCGGGCGCGAGAGGTTGGAATGAATGGCCTGCGGCGCGATCGACATGCTGGCGATGGGGCGTCGGTGGGCGGCACCCGTTGACCTGAAGCTGATCCGTGGTGTCCTGGCAGCCGGGGCGGGTATAGGGGAGGCAAGAACACGCTAGAAGATGTGCGCGATTGCCCGTTCTGATAGAGACCGGAAGGGTATCGGTACGCTCTGGCAGCAGCGAACGGCGCGAGAGAGAGAGAGAAAGAGGAGGAGGAAGGCTCGCAGCGGGCCAGAGGGATTGGACGGGACGTGGGCCTCGGAGGGATGGTGGAGGATGTACGAGAGAAAGAACAGGTCGACCGATCTGGATGGATGGCGGGCGGACGGGCGAACGGGCTAATGGGGATGGTGGTGATGATGGTGGTGGAGCAGGAAGCATGAGGCAGCGAGGAGGATGCAGACGAGGCCGGCTCGTTACAGCAAGTCGTGCAGTACGTTGTCGAACCTGCGACGGCCAGCCTAGCTAAACGTCTCGGCCTGTGTAGACAGGCAAGTAGACGCGCTCCCGCTGCACGCCCAAAGGCCGGCCGCCCGACTGGATTGTATTGGGCCGGGCCGATGGCAAAGGGGCATGGGGGGGGCAGGTGTAGTCCGTATGCTTCCGCATCGGGGCTTCGACTACAAATCCTGCACAATGACGCGGTCACGGCCGCGGTCAGAGAAGCTAGGCCAAGTCAGCCGAGAGGGGAATGCAGCAAGCAAGCAAGCAAGCAACAAGCCAAAGCACCCCAGAGGGCACCGCGTCGCCGTCGACGGCCAAGCCGAGGCGCACAGACACGTACGGATCGACGGGAGGGCCGCACCAGCATCAACCAGCCTAGGCTCGGCCCAAGGCAGCGAAAGACCGCAGGTAGGTCGGTCGGATCCAGAGCAGGCCTGAGCAGGAGAAGTTGATGGCTTCGGCCCGCATCTCGCTCGCTCGCTCGCTTGGCCAGCTCGCCGTCGAGGCTAAGCAAAAGCTAAGCGCAGCTGGGCACGTCGCCGCGTCCTTCATCGTTCCTGGCAGGCCTGGCCTGGCCGGCCTCGCGCGCAGTCGTGGATCGTCGGCCGCTGCAGCAGGCACCCATCGAGGCACGGTGCTCTTGTCATCGGCAGCGGGCAGACGACGCTGGGTCGCGGACTCCGGAGGCCCCCTTCGCAGCGGGAGCGACGAGCCGTGCTGACCTACTGTACCTGCCTGTAGAGTCACCACCGCCATCCTACGCCTGCGTCTACTGTATGTAGATCGACCAAGCGCCTCGGCGGCTATGGCCGAGAATAGAATCGGCAGTCAAGAGAGTGAACATCGATATACGCTGCACGGCCTGCCGGTCCCCCCTCGCTCACCAAGCTTTCGTGGCCCCTTCTTTCCTTCTGCTGCGCGGAGACGTACGTTGGCTTTGGGCTCGAGGGTGGATCACCGCACAACCGAGGTCAACTTGGCGTTGCAGCGACCAGAATGAGGTTCGCGGCCAGGAGCAAGCAAGCTTGCAAGCGTATCTGGACCGCTTGCTGGCCTTTGTTCGCCTCTCCGTCCACATCTCGGCCGTCCGGGATCCCGTTGCCATGCCGCGCCCAGGAGCAGGCCTGACAGAGTGCGAGCGGCGGGTCGGAGAGCCTAGATGAGGGCGGTGTCCTGTGGTACTGCACCATGAGACGGAACTCACTTCACTCGTATTGTGCGGCGCCAGCCTCTGCCCTTGTGAGCTGGAGAGGCTCAGGTCGGCCGCGTGTCCAGCAAACAAGCCTGCATCAGGTCCGAGAGAGGCTCAAACCGGTCGACCCTTTAGGGGGAGGCATACGCCGGCAGCCTGGAAAGGCGCTAGATGGAGCACGACTTGGCAGCGGACCTGCTCTCCAGCTGCTCGCACAGGGGGTCTCGCAAGGTACGGGCCGTGCTGGATGCTTCCTGCTCAAAGCGCGTTCCCACCTCGTCTACACGTTCGACTCGTTCCGTCTCCAAGGCTCTTGATCAACCGAGATGGCGAGCAGGCTCGTACTCTGTCAGCGCCGAGCGTCGTAGCGTCGTCCACGTTGCCAATACTGTATTCGCGGCCGGATCCGCTTGGATGCAAAGCAGTCGATCTAGGCTGCAGCGCTCGTCGCCGAGTGCGGCCACGCACCGGGCTCGACGCAACGATGCCAACCGGGTCTCGACATGTCTGCGAGGCGTCCGGAACGGGCGAGCACGTCGTGGCGCCCTCGTGGCACCGCCGCCGGGGCAGTAACGCTCGCAGCACTGCGCAGACAGAGGCTTCAGGTCGCACTTTGCCGAGTCCATGGGCGGGCTTTCCTTTGGTTTTGCATGGTATTACAAGATGTTGCGATCAGGAGAAGGCGCACAGGGACTAGGACGAAGTCGAGCGAGGATCCCTTACTCGGTGATCTTTGCGAGAATCTCCGAGTCGCGGATCAAGAGGTACTCCTGTGGGAGGGGAAAAGCAGAAGGGAAGCATGCGATAGAGGTCAGCAACGGCCATGCGCAGCCTGCGGAAGAGATGCCCACCGGGCGCTCGAGCAGCAAAGCAGGCGGCAAGAAGAGCGCAGGGGCGGCTCTTGCCTCTCTCCGCCTCTGCCCGCCGAGGAACGAGCAAGACGCGAGACACTCACATCCTCGCCGACCTTGATCGAGTTGCCGCCCCAGCTGGGGAGAAGGACCTTGTCACCGGCCTTGACGCTGGGCGGGATGAGCTTGCCATCCTTGTCGGTGGCGCCGGGGCCGGCGGCGATGACGCTGGCCTCGGGGAGGGGCGACGAGGCGGCCGAAGAGGGGAGGAAGATGCCGCTCGAGGTCTTGGTCTCGGGCTTGAAGCGCTGGACGAGGACGCGGTCGAGGAGCGGAACGACCGACTTGATGGAGCGGATAGTCGACTGGGTGGCCTGCAACGAGTTGCGGGTCGGTTTAGAGGGGGAAAAGACAAGGAGGTGTCAATGACGGGTGCTGCGCTGGTTCTGTAGCCGATGTGGCCGTCAATTCAACTCACCATGTTTGCAATGTCGCTGTTGAAGGCTGGCAGGGAGTACGAAGGAGAGACGGAGCGATGACGATGGTGGTGGTGGTGGTGGTGGCGGCGGTAGATGTGGTGGTGCGAGGTGGAGCGTTGAAGAAACGTGGAGAAGGGCCGATTTGGCCAAGAAGGTGGATACCCGAAGCTGGCCGAGGCAAAAAGGCGGCCGGACGGGCGGGCCAGCAGGCAGGCAGCCAGGCAACTGGGCAAGGCCAACAGGGCCCGAGGCCGGGGCTCCCGGTCTGACCGGGCCTGGTGAGCGTAGGCTCTCGCCCTGGAATCTTCCAGAGCCGCGCGGCGGTGGGCAGGGATCGAGATTGATTGAGAGTCTCGGTCCTGCGTAAGAAGCCGGATTGAACCAGGACCTCCAGTCGCAATCAAATCTCTCACGCGGAAGCCTTGGGAAAAAGGAAGAAAAGCTTCCTTCCGTAACCCGGGGCTGAGCCGTGCCTGCTTCCTGGAAGAAATCGGCAACCACGGCGGGCCTGGTGCCCGCCCCGCTGGGATGGGGGCGTGGTTCGGGTCAGCCGGGTGAGGGTGAGGGGGACGCGCGAGGCGGAGAAAAGCCAGCCAGCCAGCCGCTCGCTCGCCCTTTGGTTGCTCGTCCGTCATCCTGCCCCGCACGCCCCAGCTCCTCTTCGCCACCCACCACCACCACCACCACCATCATCACCGCTATTCCCACCCTTCCGACCCTCCCCTCGCCACACTCTTAGCATCACCATGTCGCTGCTCAGGAACGTCGCCGGCAAGGCTGCCAAGCAGCAGAGCCGCGCCTTCTCCACCTCGCTCGCCAACAGCGCCCACAAGGAGATCAAGTTCAGCAACGATGGCCGCGCCGCCATGCTCGCCGGAGTCAACATGCTCGCCAACGCCGTCAGCGTCACCCTCGGCCCCAAGGGCAGGAACGTCATCATCGAGCAGCCCTTTGGCGGTCCCAAGATCACCAAGGGTGAGTAGCAGCGCGCAGCCTTCGTCCCTACAGCCGTGTCGACGAGCAAATTGGGCCTACTGACACTCGGCTCCACTCCTTTCTCTCTCCCTCTCTCTCTCCCTCTCTCTCTCCCTCTCTCTCTCCCTCTCTTTCCTCCTCCTCCCTCTCCATTCATTTGCGTCGGCCCGCAGACGGTGTGACGGTGGCCAAGTCGATCCAGCTCAAGGACAAGTTTGAGAACCTCGGCGCCCGCCTCGTCCAGGACGTTGCCAACAAGACCAACGAGGTTGCCGGTGACGGCACCACCACCGCCACCGTCCTTGCCCGCGCCATCTACGCAGAGGGTGTCAAGAACGTTGCCGCCGGCTGCAACCCCATGGACCTGCGCCGCGGCACCCAGGCCGGTGTCGAGGCCGTCATCAAGTACCTCGAGGAGAACAAGCGCGTCGTCACCACCAGCGAGGAGATCGCCCAGGTCGCCACCATCTCGGCCAACGGCGACTCGCACGTCGGCCAGCTGATCGCCACCGCCATGGAAAAGGTCGGCAAGGAGGGCGTCATCACCGTCAAGGAGGGCAAGACGCTCGAGGACGAGATTGAGATCACCGAGGGCATGCGCTTCGACCGCGGCTACATTTCGCCCTACTTCATCACCGACGTCAAGACGGCCAAGGTCGAGTACGAGAAGCCCCTCATCCTCCTCTCCGAGAAGAAGATCTCGGCGCTCCAGGACATCCTCCCCACGCTTGAGGCCGCCGCCCAGCTGCGCCGACCGCTCCTGATCATTGCCGAGGACATTGACGGCGAGGCCCTCGCCGCGTGCATCCTCAACAAGCTGCGCGGCCAGCTCCAGGTGTGCGCCGTCAAGGCGCCCGGGTTCGGCGACAACCGCAAGAGCATCCTCGGCGACCTCGCCATTCTCACCGGCGGCACCGTCTTCTCCGACGAGCTCGAGGTCAAGCTGGACCGCGCCACGCCCGAGATGCTCGGCAGCACCGGCTCCATCACCATCACCAAGGAGGACACCATCTTCCTCAACGGCGAGGGCGACAAGGACGCCCTGGCCAACCGCTGCGAGCAGATCCGCGCCGCCATCAACGACGCCACCACGTCCGAGTACGACCGCACCAAGCTCCAGGAGCGCCTCGCCAAGCTCAGCGGCGGTGTCGCCGTCATCAAGGTCGGCGGCTCGTCCGAGGTCGAGGTCGGTGAGAAGAAGGACCGCTACGACGACGCCCTCTGCGCCACCCGCGCCGCCGTCGAGGCCGGTGTCCTGCCCGGCGGTGGTGTCGCCCTCCTCAAGGCGTCGCTTGCCCTCGACAACGTCAAGCTGGCCAACTTTGACCAGCAGCTCGGCCTGTCGATGCTCAAGGCCGCCCTCACCCGACCGGCGCGGACCATTGTCGAGAACGCCGGCGAGGAGGGATCGGTCGTCGTCGGCCGCCTGCTCGAAAACCCCGGCGATTTCGCCTACGGCTACGACGCATCGGTGGGCGAGTACAAGGACATGATCGCCGCCGGTATCCTGGACCCGTTGAAGGTCGTCAAGACGGCGCTCGTCGACGCCAGCGGTGTCGCCTCGCTCCTCACCACGAGCGAGTGCTGCGTCGTCGAGGCGCCCGAGGAGAAGGGACCTGCCGCCGGCGGCATGGGCGGCATGGGCGGTATGGGTGGCATGGGAGGCATGGGCTTCTAAGCTAGTAGCCGCCCTCCCCCCGCCCCCTCGTTCCCTCTTTCCTCGCTCCTCTAGATTCAGTCGCTCCCTGTCTGCCTTATTCCTGCCATCGCAATCATGTACTCTGTTGATGTGTCCCTTCAGGTCATCTTGGTTCGCTACCTCTGGTCCCTCCCATGGCGCCCTCGCCTCTAGCTAGGAATCGACCCTCAAAAACGGCAGCGGCGTCGCAGCGGCGCTGCTGCGCAACCGATGACGGAACATCGTGTATCAATCATCATCACCGCTCCATGCTATCCTCTCACGGCCCTTGCCCGACGTCGGTGCCGAGACAGAACGATCCGGTCCTTTCCTCTCCTCCTTCGCCCCCCAGTCGGCGTGGATTTGGCGGCGGCGGTCATGGCTACATCGCTGCCTTTTCTGCTCTCCGCCTCTTTGCCCACTCGCGTGCGCGCTCGAGGCGCTCCTTGCGTTTGAGTTCGTTGGTCGCCTGATCGTCGGACGTGGGAGCCACCGGCGGCTTTCCCCCGCCGTTGTTGCCGTCGTCGCCGTGGTGGTTCTGGCCCTGCAGCTGCGCATCGTCGGCCGTGTCTTTTGGCTGCGAGGCGGCGGAGTCGGTACTGGCGACGGCCTTGATCTGGCTGGCGTCGCCCTTTCCCTCGTCGCCATCGTCGTCTTCGCTCTCCGAATCGCTGTCGTACGCGACCAGCGATGCACCCATGCCGACCGCAAATGATGTTGATGCAGCAGCAGGTTGAGCTTCGTCACCTGGCGAGTTGGCAGCGCCCTCAAACTCCCTCCTCACATTGTCGTACGGCCTCTCGCATTCCTTTGACCCGCTACGGAGCCTCTTCCACACGTCCGGGTACAGCTGCTTGGTCCCCTTTCGCAGGAAGGCGAAGCGCGGGTCGGATCCGTGGTTGGCGAGGATCTTCATCTCGAGCACCGTCGGGTTGGTCGACTGCAGCAACACTTTCGCGGTGCGCTGCATCAGCTCGTACTGCGTCTGATCCGGAAACCCGGCCTGCGCCTCGGTCGCCGCGTCGGCCGTGAGCGCCGGGTCCGCCTGGTCCCCCTGTTCGAGCGCCAGGATGGCGGCGATACGCTTCTGTCGCTCGTCTTCGAGACGGTTCCGCTTCTTGTCGCGCAGGTAATCGGCCGCCTCGGATGAGGTGAGGAAGAAGAGGTCGTCGGAATCCGAGGGAAGGTCCGAGAAGCCGTCGGAATCGTCGTCCGAGGGAGGGGAGGAGGTCGAAGCAGTCCTGCTGGGGACGGTAGTCCTCTTTGGCTTGGCAGGGAGCGACGAGAGGAGGTGGATGACGTCGAACCTGTGGCCAGCGAGGGGAATGATAGCACAGAGACCTGACAAAGTCAGCGCGGTTCCGCGAGAGGTGGCAATGAGTAGATCCGATGGTGCAGAGGGACACAGGCGCGGGTCGACGGCGCTGAGCGGGCGACAAGGGGTTCCCTGGTCACGGCGCGGTGATGGAACGTGGATTGGGATTTCGGACAGCAGGTAAAAGATCTCGGCGCGGAAGGGAGAGATGAGTAGTATTCACAGGCGCAGAGGCCGACGGAAAGCGAGCAGCTGCAAGAGACGACGGCGGTGGCGGCGGCCACGACGATGAAGCGTACCTGTCTGTCCAGATCTTGTGCAGCCTATCCTGCTGGGTCGCATCTGGCGCCGTGAAAGCCACGAGCCGAGTGGATCGGTGGGTGGCTTGTCCATCGTCTCTGCCTGCGAAAAGGCTATCCTGGGCGACACTGGAAGGACGATCGTCGCCGAGGCGAAACGAGGTAGAGTTGCTTCCGTCTTGGCCGCCGGCCGAGTTCAGTCTTGTCGTTGTCGTCGCGGAGGAGGACGAGGAGAAAGCTGGATGGAGGCGAGGGTCGTAGTGCAGCCGTCTGCGGAGGTGGTCGTCGTGGTTGAGGGACAGCTCGTACGCTCGGGGCAGCAGGACTGGGTCGAGGTGGTCGTTGGTGCCATTGTCGTTGGCCGGTGGTATTGTCGGGCTGAAGTGCATGCCGTGGTGGGGTCAGTCAGTGATGGAAGTGCGCGACACGAAGCAGTAGAGTGATGGATTGGAGGAAAGCGCTTGCGGGGGAGGCGGCGAGGCTGCGAGATGGGTGGGGGCCAACGGCCAAAGGCAAAGAGGCAAAGGCACGCGAGCCATCCAACATGGCAGAGGCGCGCCTGGCTGGCCCGCGCGGGCAGCGGGGCGCCCACTTCGACTCTCTTCCATTTCCCGAACCCTTCTGTCAATGCCTTCCACCTCTTCCCTCCTCCACTCGACGACGCCGGCCAGCACCACCGACACCACCACCACCACCACCGGCATCAACCACGCCGGGCTCCCTCGACACAATGTCTGACTTCTACGTCAGGTACTAGTGAGCCTTTGATCGCAAACTCTCTCACCTGCACCCCAATCTGCGCCCCAGACGGCTGACTTCCTGACCCCCCCTCCTCTTCCTTCCATCGACCGACTGGCCGACCGACCGACCGACCGACCGCGCCTTTTAGTACCGGCCACCAGGGCAAGCACGGCCACGAGTTCCTCGAATTCGAGTACAGCAGGGGCCGCCTGCGCTATGCAAACAACAGCAACTACCGCAATGACAGCCTCATCAGGAAAGAGAGTGCGTGGCCGTGGAGCTGCCCATGCTGCTCTTGGCGAACACACGCGCACTTCTGACACCTTGTCCCGCTCCACTCTGCCGCCACACCCTGCCACAGTGTGGATCTCTCCGTTGATGGTGTCGGAACTCAAACGATTGGTCGAGGAGAGCGAAATCATGAAGTCAGTGCTCCGCTTCCCCCCCCCCCCCCCCCGTCGCACACGGCACGGCCCTACGAAAGCAGAACAGGAACTGCCGCTGACTGTCAAAGATCTGCCCTCGCCCGCTGCGCCACGCGGACGACAGGGAAGACGACGCAAAGTGGCCAAAGAAGAACATTGTCGGGAGGCAGGAGCTCGAGATCCGGCTGGGCAACGAGCACATCTCCTTCGAGGTGGGTATCTTTTGCGCTCTGTGGCGGCACGGCAGCGCCTGCCCGCCCAGGCCATCAACCTGGAGCCGCGTGACCGCTTCTGACCCCGTTGATCCCATTCCCACGCACGCTCCTCGAACAGACGGCCAAGATTGGCTCGCTGGTCGACGTGCAGGACAGCGAGGACCCCGAGGGGTTGAGGGTCATGTATTACCTTGTCCAGGACCTCAAGGTAGGTTGCGGGGGCTGCCTTGTCGCTGGCCGATCGCAACGACACGCTGACCTGGCTTCTCTTGGTCGTTTGCCTCGGATTGTGCGTGGCACTGGTGATGATTGACCACGAACGATGACAGTGCCTCATCTTCAGCTTGATTTCGCTGCACTTCAAGATCAAGCCGATTGGCTAGGCGGCGGACACGGTCGGCAAGTCCTGCCGAAAGCTCGCCCCCTTGATCGACTGGACGCGGATCTCGACGGCATCGCAGAGGAGCGGCAGCAGCGTAGCCTCTCTGGTGATTCGGCGTGCCGAGTCGGCGCTGATCCGAGAATGTATCCATACCTTGCGCCCCACGTCGGAGCGCTCCCCAGCAACTGCGAGAGTCGACTCACCTGCCCCCGGCGGCTCGATTGCAGCGTATCGCCTGGTGGATGGCTGCCTGCTGTCAACTTTCGTGTGCCGCTTTGCGGTGTTCGGGGACGATGAGGCTGCTTCTCGAGGGTCGTGAGAGCGGTACGCAATGTGCTGCGCGACACCAAGGCAGCTCGCAGTCGAAGGTTGAGGGTTGCGACGCTGGGGCTGGGCTGGTCTTGCACTCACTCGCACGAGTCGAGTTGAGCGTAGGCGCGGCCACCTCCACACGCTTGGCCTGATGCTGAGCTTTGGCGCGCTGTGCTGAGGCTGCCAACCTGACCCGTGCGTGGCCAGGCGTGGCCAGGCATGGTCAGGCTAGGCCCTGACTCGAAGATCTCGTCTGGCCCTCGACAGGTGGGCCGCCACCCGCCCGCTCAAGACGCCGGCGTCCAGAGCCAGGACCAGGCCATGGATCCCATCTTGCCCCTTGGCCATCCCCAACCACCATCACTCACCGCCTGCTCTTGCTCTTGCTCTTCTCACCTCGCAATCGGGATGCCACCCAGGCCACCGCCCGCACCATGCGATTCCTCCTCCCACCCTCTTGCTCGTCCAACACCCTCCTACAACCCCCTGCCCACTTGCTCCATCCCTGCCGCACATTAGCCACCTCGACACCACGCCCTGTCCGCTCACACCGCCACCCAGCCGGCTTCACCACACCTCCGCACTCCCCAGTCTCGTCGCTTTCAGCAAGCGCCACCGCATACCAGGCCAACCCGCGCACCCTTGTCTCCCACCTCGACGCATACGTCATCGGCCAGCAGAGGGCCAAAAAGGTCCTCGCCGTCGGCGTGTGGAACCACTACCTCCGCGTCGAGGAAAACGAAAAGCTAAGGCGCTGGGATCACTCCCTCAGGCTCCGCGAGCACCAGGAGCGGCTCAACACGCTGCATAACGAGCAGCAGAGTAACCAGGCCGAGCAGAAGCCGCAAGATGACCAACGGGCCAAAGAGGACGGGGCGGACGAGCTGACCCGGCTGGCGTTTCCACGCTCCTCGCCGACGTCTTCCGCTCAACGCATGGCCCCAGCTTCCAATACCGCCGATGCAACGTCGCCTGCAACGCAGCATACCGCCTCTACACCACTGCTCAACACCAGACCGGGCTCGCTCAGCTACTACGACAAGTCCAACATTCTCCTCCTCGGACCATCCGGTTCCGGCAAGACGCTCCTCCTCCGCACGCTCGCCGAGTCGCTCTCGGTGCCCTTTATCCACGTCGACGCCACACCCCTCACCATGGCCGGCTACGTAGGCGAGGACGTCGAGAGCATCGTCTCGCGCCTCCTCGTGGCAGCCAACGGTGACGTAGAGCGTGCCCAGAGGGGCATCGTCTGCCTGGACGAGGTGGTGAGTACATTCGCAGCAGAGCGCTCCTGCAATCCTCGCCCAACGATGCGATGTGCTCACCTTGCCTCAACTCGCTGCCACCTTTCATCTTTGCACGACCCCATCAGGACAAGCTGGCAAAACGCGCATCGCCCGCGGGCGGCGGCGGTCGGGACGTCGGCGGCGAGGGGGTCCAGCAGGCGCTGCTTCGGCTGCTGGAAGGCTGTACGGTCTCGGTTCCCGCTCCGACGCCTCCGTCGTCGCAGCAACAGCAGCAGCAAACATCGATGAGCGGCGGAAGTGATGCGGCCGGATGGTACGCTCAAGAGCAGCAGCACCAGCAGCAGCATGTCTCATCGTCGTCCGCGACGTCCGGGGGCGCAATGACGGCGGGCGCCGGCGGCGCCTCGCCGACAGTTTCGATCTCAACGCAAAACGTCCTGTTCGTGCTGAGCGGGGCGTTTGTCGGCATCGAAGACGTGATCCAGCGACGACTGGGCAAGTCGGGCGCCGCCGCTGTCGCCGCCGCGCCCTCTTCAACGGCGCTGCTGGCACAGCTGGAACCGAGCGACCTGGAAGCGTACGGTCTGATACCGGAGTTCATCGGCCGTCTGCCGCTGCTCACGACCCTCGCGCCGCTCTCGCTCGATGACCTGGTGGCCATCCTGCAGAAACCCAAAAACGCGCTGCTCAAGCAGTACACGCGGCTTTTCGCCTCGTTCAACGTCGAGCTCATCGTCACGCCCGCCGCCGTGCGCGCCGTGGCGCGGAGGGCAAAGGAGGGCAACACGGGCGCGCGCGGACTGAGGCGCATCCTCGACGAGATCCTCCTCGACCCGTTTTACATTTCCTTCCAGAGCGGCGTCAGGTTCGTCGTCGTCGACCGGGCCAGCGTCGAAGAGGCAAAAGAGGTCGGCCTATACTCGCGCGGACAAAAGGCCGACGTCGTGGCCAGAGTCAAGGCCGATTCCACACCACCACCACCCGCCGCCGCAGCTACCCGAGTCGACGAGCGGACGAAGCGGAAGGTCCGTAGATATGTCAGGGTCCGGGCGAAGTGGGCGTCGAGGAGCGGGGCGGTCCGGGTCAAATTGCTCGCATAAAGGACGGGACGCGAATGACGAATAGCTCAACGAGTCTGTTTTTCTTTTCTTGATAGAGTCGGCTACGGAACGGCGCAAGGTGGTCGGTCTACATCGCCGACGCCAGAGCTCTATCGTCCTTCCTCTAAACTAGGTCGTCTCGACTCCCCTTCCTTGCTCGGCGGCCATCGTAGCGCGCGCGCCCACGGTCGGCTCCTCAGACGTACCTCTCCTCGAGGACGATGCCTTCCTTCTCGAGCTCGAGGCGGATGGGGTCGCAGATGTCCTGGGAATAAGGTGCGAGGATGCCGACCTTGGAGAGGGCCGGGTGGCGCTCGAGGACGAGCTTGGTGGCGATGGCGCAGGGGACGCCGACGAGCTTTGCCATGCTCGAGGTGCCGTGCGGGATGCCGTAGTCGAGGAGCGTCGAGGTGAGCGTCTTGGCCTCGCCCTGGGCCGTCTCGATCTCAAACTTGTGCTGCAGCATGACCATGTCGCGCTCGCCGGGCGCGTAGGCGCACTTGTGCTCGAGGGTGGCGCAGAGCGAGTCGAGCGGGTTGCCCGCCTCGGCCGCCTTCTCCTGCGCGGCGGTGCCGCGGACGGTGACGGGCGCGGTAGTCGAGAAGAGGTCGAGCCACCTGAGGCCGCGGACAATGGTCTCCTCCTGGGCGGCCGAGGCAAACTGGCAGCGTGCGCGCACCGCCTCGATGAGGGTCTTCTCATCGTTGGACTTGGCGCCGAGCATGGCCGCCGTCACGTCGGCCCACGACGCCTTGGAGCCGTAGGCAAGGAACGGCTTGGCCTCCTCGTCGAGGAAGCCGAGCTTGACGAGGGCGAGGATGAACTCGGGGAAGCCCTGGTAGCGCAGCGTGCCGCGGATGACGGTCTCGGCTTCGGGAATGCGGTACCACTCGCGGAAGGGGGTCGAGTCGCGGTTGGGGTAGGCCACAAAGGCGAAAGCGGGCGAGATGTAGAAGCTCTGGGCGGCGGCCATGAGCTCCTGGCCGCCGACGGTGAGCTGCTGGCCGTCGCGGTAGAACTTGGCCGTGTTGCGCAGCGCCAGCAGCACGCCGCGCGACGACCACGAGAACTTGTAGCCCAGCGGGTTGTCGGCCGCCTCGGGTGCGGGGAGGCCACCGCAGTAGGAGAGGAACGACTTGACCTTGCCGCCGGCGGCGTGAACGTCGTCGATGGCCTTAACGGCGTAGAGGTGGTCAATGCCCGGGTCGAGGCCAATCTCGTTCATGACCGTGATGCCGGCCTTTTGGATCAGCGGCTCAAGCTCGCGGATGGCGTCCGAGACGTACGAGGTGGTGACGACGTCAACTTTGTGCTCGCACGCGGCGCGGATGACGGCGGCGTGGTACGTGTAGGGGATCAGCGAGACGACAACGTCGTGGCCCTTGATCAGGTTCGACAGGGCCGCGGCGTCGTTGACGTCAACCGAGACGCCCTGTGCATTGTAGAGGCCGTCGCACAGCTTCTGGGCGTGCTCGGCCTTGACCGAGGCCACCGTCAGGCTGTACTCCTGGTAGCGGGTGATGTACTCGGCAAAGGGGCGGGCGACGTAACCGGAGCCGAGCAGGAGCACTTTCTTGGGCTGGCGGGGCTTCTGGTTGGCGACGGCGCCGTCGCCGGTGGCAATGACGCGGCCGGGGGCGGGCGCGCCGTCCTCGATGACCTTGCGGGCAAACTCGGGCACGACGAATGCGGCGCGGTGGACCTGCGAGTTGTAGTAGCGGCAGCCGGGCACCTCGCGAACGGGCTCGCGGACGTTGCGCTGGGCGTCGAGGGAGCAGACGACGAAGCCAATCTGGCCCGAGGGGTAGGTGGGGATGGTGGTAAAGGCGTAGTCTGCGACGGGGAAGAGCTCCTTTGTGGACCTGCGGAGCTCGCCGATGAGGCCGAGGTGGATCCAGAGGCACTCGGCCTGGGTCGAGATGTGTCCGCCAGGCTTGAGGGCCTGCTTGAGGAGGGCAAAGTAGGGCTGCTGGAAAAGAGCCTCGGCGGGGCCGACGGGGTCGGACGAGTCGGTGATGATGACGTCAAAAGCGGCGTGGTTCTTGGGGTCCTGGAGGAAGGCGAAGCCGTCGCCGATGATGACCTTGGACTTGGGGTGGGTGAGGCCGGCGGCCATGTTGGGGAGGTACTGGGACGATACGCGCGGGACGGCCTCGTCGATGTCGCAAAGGACGGCCTCCTTGACCGAGTCGTGCTTGACGACCTCGCGGAGGACGCCGCCGTCACCGCCGCCGATGACGAGGACGCGCTCGGGGTTGGGGTGGGAGGCGAGGGGGAGGTGGGCAATCATCTCCTGGTAGGAGAACTCGTCGCGCTCGGTGCACTGGATGACGCCGTCGAGGACGAGTACATTGCCGTAGGTGGTGGACTCGAAGACGAGGACGTCCTGGAACTTGCTGCGCTCGGTGTGAAGGATGCGCTGGACCTGCAGGCTCATGGCCTGTCCGGGCCACTGGCTGTTGGCTGACGGGCGCACAGAAATGGTGGAAAGCTGAAGCGGCAGTCAGCGAGGGCGGTGGGACCGGGGGACGCCAGGTGTGTTGGCCTGGGGCGGCGTGTACTGTACTCACTCTCGTGGAACCAGCCATCGCGAATGTTGGGGTGAGAGAGGACCATGCTGACGACAGGGATTGCGGTGAGGGTTGGTGGCGTTGTGATGGTGGTGGACGGCAAGACAGGAAGTAAACGGGGGTCGAGGGCGACGGTCGACTTGGGGGTGGGTCCGCGGCAGCCAGGCAGGCAAACGTGGGTACCGTCGGCGACCAGCAGGCCATCATTGCCAGTATTCTTCGCGCCAAGGTGCGGGTTGGCCTGGCAGCCTTGAGGCAAGGCAGGGCAGGGCAGGGCAGGGCAAGGTTGGGCAAGGCAGGGCAGGGCAGGGCAGGGCAGGGCAGCTGGCAGAGGGCGAAAAACCAGGCCAGGCCAGGCCAGGCCAGGCCAGGCCAGGCCGTCGCAGGCGAAGAAAACCGGCGCCCGCCGCGGGCCTTCGGCGTGCTTCCGTGTGGGCGCCCACGGCAAACGGCCGAAGCCACCGGCATCCTGGCGAAAGCGCGATCCGATCGCGCCTCGTCCACTCTCCAATCGGGCGGGCGCAGATGGCGCTCTATCTGCGTCGCGGCCAGTCCCGTTTGCCGGCCCACCACCAACCACAACAATCGCCGCCACCGCCACCTCCTCTCCTCTCCTCTAGCACTACCAAGACTAAAGACGTACTTCTGACCGGCCTGCTTGCCCACCACCTCCCGCTCGAATCGTACCTCTCTCTACCTGGGGGCGGTCTGGAAGGCTGCGACTTGGTCTCGCCCACCTCCCCTCCACTTTGACCCCTAGCGGATCCGAAGCCTCATCCGTCGTTGCCCAACGGCGCATCTATCTAGCTCGAGCCAGGTTGCCCGCTGCCTTGTTTGCTCCCCTCATCCACTTCCCTCGCTCCCCAGTAGTGTGTCTTCTGCCGCTCGCCCTTCGCAGCAACCGCTCGTCATGTCACAACCGCCCGCTCACTTTGAGCCACAGCAAGGCGGCACATGGATGCAGAATGCCCAGCCGCCTACGCAATCCCACAACGGACAGCCACAGCAGGCGGCCCATGACGACTTTTTCTCTGCCTTTGCGCAGCAGCAACAACAGCAGCAACATCAACAACAACAACAACAACAACAACAACATCAGCCAGCACCCTTCCCGCACCATAATGACCCAGCCACCAGCAGCGCAGGCATCCTCCCCGCCTCGTTCTTCGAGATCCCCTTTGACCTCGGCGACGCAACCACCGGCCAGGCTCAGCTCGACGCATCCTTTGACCCCCTCCATGGCCTTCCAGACATGAGTCCGGAAATGTACCTTGGCCCCCCCGCCACATCGATTCCCATCCCAAACTACGGCAACAACCCCTACGTCGTGCCATCCCAGCAGCCACCAGCTCCCCACCTGTACCCGCACTACCAGCACCAGCTCCAGATGCAGCACGAGCATGCTCCGCAGCAGGCCGGCCACATGCCTGACTTTGCCGCCGAGTTTGCCAGCCTGCAAGCCAGCCTCGGCTTCGACGAGCACGGCAACTCGCTGCCGCAGCAGCAGCAGCAGCAGCAGCAGCAGCAGCAAGCCGGACCGTCTCGACAGCCGCAACCGGGGTTCGAATCAGCCGGAGTCAAGCCGAAAGCGGCGACAAAGAAATCTTCAAAGCCAAAGGCTCCCAAAAAGGAGAAGGACGGCGCTGAAAAGGAAAAGAAGCCCGCCAAGCCAAAGGCATCAAAGGGGAAGGCAAAGGATGTTGCAGAGGCAACGGGGGGACCTGGGTCCACGGCGGCGGCGGGGTCAACGACAATGGATCCAGGCATGATCACGACGGAGACTCCCACACAGCTGAGCACGGTGGAGGCCTCGAAGCCGAAGCCCAAGAAGAGCAAAGCGAAGGCCAAAGACAAGGACAGAGACGGCACCGCCGCCGATGCACCCGCTACAAGCCCTTTGGCCGACGCCACGGCGCCGCCGCCAAAACCAAAGAAAAGCAAGAAGAAGGCGGCAGAGAAAGCGTCCGTCGCCGACGGCGGCTCAGCGGGAGCGTCAGCGGCCACCGCGTCGTCGACGTCGCAGAGTGTCGCTGTGCCAGCCGCGGAACCTGCCGTGGGGCCTTGGGCCTCGGCCGGCGGGCCATCGAAGCTGTCGGACCTCGCAGGATCGTCGCCGGCGCGTTCCACCAAAGCGTCCTCTGCCGCACCGAAGAAGGGCGCGAGTGCCGGCGCAGGGGCGGGTGGTGGCGGGAAGAAGGGAGCTCGCTCGGCGTCGCGCATGTCGTCACTCGGTCCAGGGCGAGCAGGGACGCGCGATCGCGACTCGGCCACGCCGGCGCTGTCAGTCCGCGACTCAGTGCGACCGGGCGGCGTAGGCGTCGGGCCAGGTGCTGGCGACGACGAAGACGACGAAATGGTGCCCGCGGTCCAGTCCAAGCGAGGCGGTGATAGGGCGGGTGGCGCCGATGAGGACGATGTCGAAGACGAGGCAGAGGCCGATGCTGAGATGGATGGCGACGACGAGCTGCGGGCGGGCGATTACGAGGACCAGGAGCGGATCTATGCCGCTCAGCAGAAGAACATGGGGTAAGTGAAGCGTCCAGCGTCAAGCAGCTGCGCGCAGACTGGCTGTGGCCGCTATGCTGACCCATTGACGCCCCTCGTGTTCCTCCTGCGATGCCCGTCGACAGCTTGCTCTCCATGGTCATGACGCCAGAGCAGCTGGATCGGCACATGGCTTCGCGACGCGGCGCTCTCAACAAAGCGTCCGTGCGGAAGCTGGTCAACCACGTCCTCTCCCAGTCCGTCAATGCTCACGTCGCCATGGTCGCGGCAGGAGTGGCTAAGATCTTTGTGGGCGAAATCGTCGAAGCGGCCAGGCGGGTCCAGCAGGAGCGCCGCCAGCAAGGACCTCTCAAGCCTATCCACCTCCTTGAGGCGCACAGGAGGTATCGGAGCCAGCGAGAGCGTCCCGGCTACTTTCCGCCCGGCCGAGACGGTGCAATGCCCGGGCTTGGCAAGAGGAGGAGGCTGTTCTGAGCCGCTGCGACGACGGTTTTGGCCCGACGACTCCACGCGATCGTTCCCCGCCAGCGCCCTGCATCCAGCTTCGTTACGTCGTCCCACTAGCGTCCGACGCGCGCACACAGCAGCTCGGAGATCGGCAGTATAAACGACGGTGCGATGTCGCCTCACTCGGCCAGCATGTGCAGCTCCAATCGAGTCGACGACAAGGGGATTCCGAAAAGGCATTCGAGAACCGAGATCAGATCGGGAGGGTGAAGAAACGAGGAAGCGGGCGCGCAATACAACCGGGGTACGAGAGGGGGACCGATCTTCGAAGGGAGGGAAACAGAGGGGTGCAGGAAGAAGGGAGGCCGCAACGTGACCTCCTCGGCGCCGGGGGGCGATGAGGCGTCACGGCCTGACACTTTGGGGCGTCTTCCGCGGCTACCGACGAGACACGAAGCGATACGCTACGAAACGACACGACTCGGCGCGATACTCGACGCAAATTGCGCTGCGAGTCCAGGGCCGGGCGGAGGGGTTATCTACACGTACACAGTTGGGTTAGAGACGAAAAGGCGACGCGAGGAGAATTAAGTCCAAGTCTGGTCGGATGGGGGCGGGATTGGATACAAGTACAGGCCATGGCTGATTTGGCGTCGGGGAAACGCGGCGGGGCGAAGACGGGGTTGGAATGGCGAGCGACGCGCGCGCGGATGGGGGCGTATTACGTCTCGGCGTGCTCGAGGTCGGCCGCGCGGTGTCCGTACGCCGTCGGGTGCTGGCTCCAGTAGGCATCACCGGCCGTGCTGCCCCGATCGCCATCGGCGCCATAGCCGTGGACCGCCGGTGCGCCATTTGCCTCGTGCTTGGGAGCCCAGCCGTAGTCGCCCGGTGGAGGGGGCGCTTCGCCATGCGGACCAGGCGCAGACAGGCCGGTGCTGAACGGGGTCGGGTTAGACCATGTTCCATCGCCCGGGCCTCCGCCGTTGCTGCTGCTGCTATGCGCCGTCGATCCGGAAGTCGAGTGCGGATGAGAAGAGAAGGGCATCGAGAACGTCACTCCCGCCGCCGAGTGGCCGTTGGGTCCGCCTCCGCTGCCGCCGGCACCGACGTCGAGGCTGCCCCGATGGTCGAGGTTTGGCGGAGGCGCATAGTAGCCCGAATCCTGCGACGACAGATGCGGGTGATGGATCGAAGCGGCAGAGCCGTTGGTGGACGAGAGCTTGCTGTCGGTCGAAACGTCAGTCGAGAGTGCCGTCGTGGCGGCGCTGCCCGTCGCCGTCGCAGCGGCGGCTGTCGATTTGTCCTTCTTTCCCTTCTTCTTCTGCGGATTCTCGTCATAGTGGCAGTCACGCTTGCCGATGCGGCATTGCTTGCACGGCGTGCCATCCTGGCTGCACTTGACCTTGCGCTTGCGGCAGACCAAGCAACCGGTTCTGCTGCGCTTGAACTTGGCGCGCCTGGCGGGACCCGGCCCGCCGGGGATCTCGCCCTCCATCATCATGCCAGAGCCGAGGTGCGGCGTCATGCCATAGCCCATGGCCGCGGCGGCGTGTGCAGCGGTGCCTGGAGCGCCGTAGGACGGTCCGTACGAGCGGCCGCTGGCGGCGCTGCTGCTCATCGAGCGGTAGCGCGTTGGCGACATGGCCGACATCGAGTCATAGCCGTATGGAGAGGGAGGGATCGGGCCGCCGCCATTGGGAGTGGCTCCAGGGACGGCGCTGTAGGACATCCGCGCGTAGTCGTACGACTGAGGCGGCGCTGCGGCCGAGACCGAGGCGTGACGACCGTGGAGCCCGCCAGCGGCGGCGCCTGGCTGGGCAGCGGCGCCCCACGGCCACTGGCGGCCAGAGTTGGGGGCCTGGTACTCGGCAGAGATCATGCCGGGCTTTCCCATGCCCGGCTGGGCACGGATAGAGCGTTCGTCGAGCGAGAAGCGCCGACTGTCTGCGGCCTGTGCCTGAGCGTAGCGGACCTGAGGAGGCAGGGGTGGCGAAGTCTCGTAGAGATGGCCGCTGCTCGAGCTGCCATCGATGCTGCCCGAAGTCAGACCGACCTGGTCAAACTGGCCATTCAACGAGTAGATGGATGCGTGCCGGCTCGAAGCGAGTCCGGGCGAGCTGGGCGCCCATCCTCCCGACACATCGTGCGGCGAAGAGATTGAGTCCTGCCGGTGGTGGGGAAGGCCAATGGGCGGCTGGTGCGAAAAACTACCGCGGTAGCCTGATCGTCACGAGGCGGGCGGGACGAGGGGTAAAGCTGACGATCAGTCAAAGTGCGCCTGCGCCTGCGTACATCGCCCGCAGTCGTGAGGTTGAACAGACGAAGATCACGACTTACTCGAAAGGGGTGAGTGAGGCTCGTCGAGCGGGCCCGCCAGTGGATGGCCAGGGGCGCCCGGCGGGGCAGCGTAGGGGTCGCTGTTGGGCTGAGGGTCAAAGGGTCGTGGGGCTCGGGGCTCATGGGCATCCGCCTGGAAGAGCGGTGCGGGACGGTCAGAGAGGCCGCCGCCGCTGCCGTAGTGCGAGGAGTAGTTGCCAGGCTCCATGTATGCGCTGCGATCGTGGCGTCAAGGGTCGTGAGGAAATGAAAGCATGTGGTGAGCTTGCCAGTAGTCCAGGGATCGTGGAAGCCCAAAATGTCGCCCACCTCGGGCCCGAGGGCCCTACGATCCGACCAAATAGAAGGGCGCGCTGGATCCACACAACGGCAACTCACTTTGTGCTCATGCTTTAGGACGAGAGGTACCGGCGGCTCTACGCACGCGGTTAGGGTTGGTCGTGGAGGTGAAGCGTTTCCGTTCAGAGGGACCAAGAAGGAAGGCGAGGCCGAGGAAGCCGAAAAGGTGGGGTGCGCTCCTCTTCTGAACTTCAGTGAGGCGAGCGTGCTTTCGACGCGGTGGAGTGCGTGACTGAGGCGCAGCGTGGGTCGGCGCAAAGATCTGAAGCGCAGGAATGAACCTCAAAATGAAGCTCGCCCGTGCGTCGGAAGATCTGCAGCGTCCTGCGGTTCTGTGTATGGGCGCGGTGGCGATCAATCGACGTTGCAGAAGAGTTCTAGAGCCGGGAAGGTCCTCTGCTGGTTCGCGATTGATGGGTATGAGAGCCGACACGAGCTGGCTGGCTGTCTGGCTGGCTGGCTGGCTGGCTGGCTGGCTGGGCGCGCGGCTTGCTTTCAACAAGGTCTGGTCGGGATCGCTTCGGCAGTCGCAGGCAATCGTGGTCGTCGTCGCCACCGTCGGGGGTCTGCAGGCGCGGATGCGAGCCGATGAGTGCTTCTGTGGGGACCTGGCGAGGCTTTGTGTGGGTGCCGTCGAGTGGCGGTTGAGGGATGGTCGTGCGTTGGTGGCCAGGGATGCTTCTGACCAGGACGGGAACAATGCCGAGGTTGAAATTGTCGGATGGTATGCGGCAGCGATTGGGATCGAGGCGGCCAAAGGGTGGGGAGGAGTGACCAGAGACGGGGAAGGTCAAGGAGGCAGGGAGGATGCAGGAAGGAGGAGGGAAGGAAGCGACGTTCGGATGGCCGAAGGGAGCCAGAGGTGATTCGGTGGTTAATAGGCCGCCTGGGGGCTCTAGGCGGGGGAGTCGTGCCCCGGTCGCAGCGGCAGCGAATGCGGAAGGCCCACCACCAGCTCAGGCAGCTCAAGCAAGCAAGGTTGAGGTGCCAAAGCGGCGGAGCGCGGCCAAGCCTACTGCCTGCCTGCCTGCCTGCCTGCCTGCCTGCCTGCCTGCCTGCCTGCGCCCAGCGGGCGCTTTCCATGACAGGCAGGCGCGCCCTGCCAGGTCTGGCTGCCAGCTCGCCCGCCCCGCCCCGCCTTTGTCCTCGCCCTCCGTGCGTGGGTGGGGCCTCTTGTCGCCTGCTTCCTCTTGTGGCGGCGTCCCATGGCGCAGACAGCCGGCCCTCCCCCAGCACAAGAGGCGGGAGGCCACTCTACATATTTTGACGTTCGTCGGGCCTTCGCTGCCCTGACGAGCGGCCGGCGGTGGTCGCTGGCCGCGACTCTCTTAGCTCCCTTGCAAGCGAGGTTGCAGAGTCGACAACCTCGCCCGCCCCACTCGGGCCTGCCAACCCGCGCGTCCGCCCCGCCTGGAGCTAAGTACACACAGTACTTAGCCAGCTACAGGCCAGGTCACGCCCAGAGCCAAACCGGGGCAGCCATCGGACTCCGCCCCAGGCGCCGCTGCCACACAGGCCAGCCGGGCACGCAGGCAAGCTTCGCGCGCGTCAGCGTAGCCTCGGCGTCTGTTCGGAGCTTGATTCCTCCATCCCTGGTGGCTGCTGCGTCAGGCTACGCACCCCAAACGCCGGGGCAGCGCCCCGTTTCCACCAAGCCCGGCGGCGGCAAAACGAGTGCATCCGCTCGCTTCCCTCCTCGCCCTACGTACATACCTACCTACCGACTCCAGCTTCGCCCGGCCTCCGCTTTCGTCCGTGGCACACACAGGTGCCAGACGTGGCGATGGTGCAGAGTCCGACTCGCTCGGCGCAGAGACGGTGAGAGCCGCTTCAGTCCCGAGTGGCACCGAGTCACAGCCCGGTGGCGCAGATGCCTCACTTCGGCGCCGGCCTCGGTGGCCAGGTCGGTTCGAGGGAAGGGGCAGCGGTGGGTCGCTCGATCGATCCATACGTCTGTCCGTCTTCGTCGAGCTGGTCGTCCACTCCAGAGGGGACGGAGCAGGCGGTAAAAATAGGCCCATGCCCGGGCGCTTCGTCGCTACAGAGGACAGCCCCAAGTTCCGCCCTGTTCACATACACCGTCGCGCCCGCGCCGAACCCCTCTTCGACTCTACATACAGTAGTAAGGGTTTCCGCCGCGATTCTCCGTTCGCGGGCCGGTGTCGCGTTGCTTCTCGACCTTCCGGCGCGCGGCCAAAGGGACCATAGACAGCCCACAGGTAGGTTCGATCGGACTGTTCTCACCCTGGGATGATCACAGCACAGTACTCTGGGTCCGCTATCCGGCACCTACACAGGATAGACAGGAGTCGAGGTCGCGGGCACGACAGCGTCCTCACTTGCCTGGCCGGAGAGTCTCAGAGACTGGCCTTGGTGGGGAAAGAGAGCGGCAGGAGAGAGAAAAAGTACCCGCCGCTGCACGCTAAACCTAGCGGCAGGCAGGCTGATGCGGGCCTCGTGGGCCATGGGAACCTGAGCGCATGCACGCATGCTGCACTCGAACCGTACGGCGCCGCGTAAAGCAGCCTGCGTGGCGACGTCAGCAACCAGCATGCATATGTATAATGGGCGGGCGCAGCGCTGCCTGTCTCGGGTCCCAAGCGCCGAGGCGCTCCTAGCCTAGCCTCCCTCCGACACCGAGACCTAAGCAGCTCGCCCAGCGCGCCCGCTCGAAGGTTGACCAGCGTCGCTTTCGACACCTGCTTCCACTCTGCCATCAGAGAGACCACCGTTCTCCCACAGCCTTGCTCTTCCTACGTTGCGACGTGGAACGTACGGTCGCTTACACCAGGCACCCCTCGAGCAGACCGCAGTGTGGCGGCCGACTCCAACCCCTTCGGACAACGGCGGGCCGGATCGGGAAGATCGGGCGTAGGAGTTGCAGGGAGCCGCGGGTCCAGCCAGGCTGATTTTGAAATTCTTACGGCCAAAGTTACTAAGCTGACGCTCTTTGGGGAGACCAGCGGACGACCCCTCATCCCCTCTTCGGCCCATGCCATGATACCGAAGGCACCGGTTCATTTGCTCGATTTTGTGCTAACAGCTGCATTGCATGGGAAAAAAAAACCACACGCGACGCAGCACGTCTTAGCTTGCTTGCTTGCTTGCTTGCTTGCTTGCTTGCTTGCTTACGCCCATCTATCTCGGCTTCTTCGATGACCTGACGCTGGTCGCTGGAACGACCGCCGGTCGGTCGGGTGCGCGCCCGCGCCAGCCCGTACGTACGTCTGTTCAGCTGAGGCGAGGCTTCCCGACACCGCCGACCACCGCTGCCGAAACGCGACCCGCGGTCCTCGACCGCCATCCCGAGCTGGCCAGGCTCCGGCGCCAGCCATGTATGTACACATCTAGGCCGGAGTGGGGTCGTGCGGAGCGTCGAAAACGGGATCTGGCTGGCCAATTATGATCCGTACCGGGAGCGCAGCGGACACGCTCGCGATCCCGCCCTAGGTCTGCGGTGTTGGGCCTTACTACTGGCAGGCGGCGACCTGGCCGCCTCTGCATCCAGCATGTTCTCGACATCAACTCTCTCGGCGCTTGGAGATGTCAGCGATGCGGTGCCCTGGCGGGCTCTAGCTGACACGCTCAAGGGGTATCGCCGCCACACTACACTGTACATACGGTACGCGCCACCTTGGCTAGGATAGCAGCGGAAACGTGGTTGGCGAATGATCGGCATTGGAGCAGGCGAGCAGGAGCTTCGATCGCGTCGCTTGACCCGACCTGCCCGCTTCAAGGAACGCCTCACGGCTAGATTAGGCCTGCCTGGCAACGTTGCACGCACCTGACAGGGGCGAGATGCTCTTCTTGGGCGAGCAGTCATCGACAGGCGTCGACGCCGCCGGCGCCCTTCCAGCGCGACGGTATGCATGCAGGGCGAGCGACGGCTTGGCCGAAAGAGCACCACAGCATGCTGGCATGCCTATGTTCTTCAGTAGTCCAGCTATATCTGATTGAGTAGTAGGTATATCTACTTACTTCGCGGCCTTCGGTCTCGGTTGTCTCGATGCGAGATCTCACTGCTCGCCGCTCTGGTCGGTTACAAGCAAAGCAAGCGCCGGGCTGAGATTCGGATCCAGACGGGCAACGTGCTGGCCTCGTCTCGCCTCGCTTGTCGATTGTCCCGTCGTGGACTCGGGGATGACGAGCGTTCCGAGCCGGATCAGGGCAGACGGAAGAGTGGACTCCAAGCGATACGAGTGAATACCGGCAGCGCCCCGTGGTCTCGACAGGCCGCATCATCGGCCATGAAGCCGAACAAACGCTGCCCGTCGACATCGCCGGTGGCGAGCGGTTCTGCCGCCGGGCAACCATACCGTAACTTGGTTTGCTACCGGAGTGTCGCAAAGCGCTCACGATTTCTTTGGCAGCGGCCCGGCCGCGCATGGACATGGCCGGTCGGCCTCCGATTTGGCCGCCATATGCGTGGTCCAACAGCAGAAAGAGTCTCTGTCGGCCGGTGCCGCGCAATTGCAGATGTGCACACGGTAAGCTGCCATTGCAGATCAGATGCCAGGATATGATGAAGATCCGACTTGCCCCGGAGCTCTCCGACGCCGCAGCCCTGAGAGCGAGGCTGTGCTCTCGTCTCGAGGATCTCGACGCGCCGAAGATCAAAGAGCAGCAGGCAGCCGCGCTCAAGTAGACATGTGAGAGCGTCGCTGATGCTGGGACGTCGACGCTTCGAAGGCGGGAAAAAAAAAGCGGCCACGCCTGGCCCTCCGGACCTGCGAGGTACAGAAGAACCGAGGGTAGGTACCGAGTTGGACAGCTGCTCGAGATCAGGTCATGCCACAACCATCGTGACTCGGCTGCCCGCGCCAATCATGGCTCGGGGGTGACAAAGCTGGTCTTGTAGGTGTATGTATGTACTACTACTATAGGACCACGCTACACTGATACGGCCTGCCGGGCGCTTTTCGAGTACTCATGACTAGAATGCGCATTTCTCCGCTTGCACAGCAGGGGTCTGTTTGGCAGCGCGGCGCGAAGGACGACCTGATGCTCCTCTCCTGGCCGCCGACGCCCCTCTCGACCGCTTCGACAGGGCGGAGGGCGCAGCAAATCTCGTGGAGCAAAGAAGTCACCGTTCCGTCTGCAACATAGGTTTCCCCCCTGAGGTCATCACTTCACCTCTGCGCTTACAATGTTTCCATGGTGTGTCTTGGCCCTCATTCTCTCTCCAATGTTTTTTTGATATATTCTCGTTATATTGCGCCCATCGTCGGTCACAAGTACCGGAGCACATGACTTGTGGTCACACTGCGTTCAGGTATTGCAGGACACAGCAGGATGAAGTGGTGCCTAGAATCTCTAGGCGTCGACCGTCACCACCCTTCGCAAAAAGCGACTTGCCTCCTTGCTCATACTCGTATGCAACGCCGTCGTCGGTGAAGCTCGAGCTTGAGTACAGACTCGATGATGAGGCCAGCGTCACGCCTTGACGTACTGGGCAGGAGTTCGGCTTCTGAATCCGGGGCGTCAACGCGGTATTGGATGCACCCATCCCAGGTGCATAGGCCGATGCATGCCAGCGAGGCTGAGGTAGGTAGTGTAGGTGTCGATGCGTCCTAAGGCTCTGATCTGCCCACCCATCTCCAGAGCTCGGCCTTTTTCCTGCCTTCCCATGCAAGGCCGACCCTTCCGCCGCATGCACCACCGACTGAGGCCTCTAAATCGACGTCAGAACGTTTCGATCGAGGGCCAGTGCCGGGCGGTCCCGGAGCCAGAGATGGCAGCGGGACCGCTGTACAGGTGCCGTAGGCCAACCCGGGCGATGGCAGCTGAAGTCCATCGCGATGACTTGCCGACAGACAGCCTCATCTACGGTCATGACTCCAGCTTGTGCATGGGGTGCGTCGCGAGATGAGCGTCCTGCAACTGTGGCAGGTGCGCAAAGACTTCAGCAGGCGATATAATCTCGAACGGCCTCATGCGAGGCTCGGAATCCTGGTTTGACTACAGTGAATCTGCTCGCCGCCCAGCAAAGACGAATGACAACCAGGCAAGCAGCATGACCTCAGTTCCGTACAGTACTCCCAGGTCGTCGATTCGGCCGGCGATGCCGACAGCTTCCGGCCCGGCAATCTTGAATGGCACAGACAGCGGTCGGCCAGCACGGACGCGCCTTGGCTGGTAAACAAAGCCGCGTCCAGCGCAATTATTATCCTGTGTCTTGTAGATTACTGGTCTGTGCGTGCTTGCACTAGCCAAGGTCTCCATTGAGAGGGGTTCTGATCACTTTACTCGGAGCGAGTCGAGTGCTGTCGCTTGGGGAGAATCCTATGATGGATGGACGGGCTCCCCCGCGAGGGCCGGCCATCGGCGCCTCTAGAGGACGGTTAAACCAGCCGCGTTTGGCTTGGCGTGTTTGCTGCGTGTGTCACGATCCATGGCGGGCGCTGTCGAGAGAGTCTTGGTGTATCTACCCACCACACGTAAACCCGCGATGTCAGAATGGCAGCAGGGCCAGGCCGGCCATAGGTGCCCGCCGGAGCGGCAGCCTTCCGCTGGGGTCGGCAGGATTTTGTACCCCACACGCCCTTCCCCGCACTTTTCGTGGTCGCGCGTAATTGCGCATTACGTCGGCCGTCGCTCACAGCCTGGCTGGGCGGCACCCACGAGACCTCCCGCACAACCACCATCCCCATCTTAGCTTTGTAGCCGTCAGCTTGTACAGCGACCATCTCCCACTCCCCTGGACATCTCCATCACCATCGCCACCTCGAATCGCCCTCGTTCCCGCTCGCGTCCTCATCACCGGCTTCGCCCACCTTCGATCCCAACAGACCATCCTTCAACCCCTGGATCGACTCAGCGCCTGCCCGAACCTCACCATGATCCACACCTCTGCCGCCCAGCCGGTCAATGCGTTTCCCGACACCGACATCTACACCTTCCTCTTCGAACACTTTCCCCCGCAGAGAGCAGATGTGCGCGAATCTTCCATCCCTCTCCTGGTGGACGAGGCAACCGGTCAGTCCTGGAACTTTGCTCAGGTAAAAGAGCGCGTCGATCTCCTCTCGCTCGCCCTTCGCCAGCACTTTCAGCTCGACTGGGATCATCGTGTTGCCACCTTCACCCCAAACTCCGTCGAATTCCCCATCGCGCTCTGGGCTTCCCAGCGCCTCGGCGGCGTCGTCTCCGCCGCAAACCCAGCCTTTGGCGTCAGCGAGCTGGTCTACCAGCTACAAACCGCAAACGCCTCCGTTCTCTTCCTCGGACATGATCAAGCTACCCTCGATGTCGGCCTCGAGGCCGCCAAGCAGGTGGGCCTAGAAAAGAAGCGCATCGTTGTCATTCAGGACCCCCAGGCCGTGCACAAGTACTCGGAGGCCAACTATGGCCGCATCCAGAAGCGTACGCAGGGGATGTGGACCGTCGCCGGCCTGGTCGAAGAAGGAAGAGAGATCCTCCAGCGTCAGGGACCAGCGTGCCTCGAACGTCGCCGCTTCCAGCCCGGCGAGTCAAAATCTAAGCTCGCCCTTCTCTCTTTCAGCAGCGGCACCACCGGTCTACCCAAAGGGTGAGTGCCCGAAACAACCCCGTGGCGGCGGCCGCACCGCCGTGTTCTTGGCAAGGCTGACGTTGCCTGATCCCTCAAAATGCCCTCTTTCGGCCACCCTCGCAGCGTCGCCATCCAGCATTCGGCGCCCATCGCAAACGTCCTCCAGCTGTGCGCCTTCAACCAAATCTCGAGTCGCCTCGGCGAGGACCAGGGCCGCTTCCGGCCGGGCACCGACATCGCCCTCGGCGTGCTGCCCCAATTCCACATCTACGGCCTCATCGTGGGTGTCCACACCATGTTCTACGCCGGCGTCACCAATGTCATCATCCCTCGCTTCCGCGGCATCGAGGCCATGGTCAAGACCATTGTCAAGTACGGCATCTCGATCTGGTGGCTCGTGCCACCCCAGATAGTCCTGCTTTGCAAGGACCCCAGCGTGCCCCCATACATCGAACAACTCCGAAAGGTCTGTCACTTTGTCATGGTCGGAGCAGCACCCCTCTCCGACGACCTCAGCCGACAGTTCATGCGCGCGCTGCCGGGAATCGACTGGGGACAAGGGTACGGTGAGTCGACTCCGTTTACAATTCAAGCCTCCTGTCCCTGCGCGAATCCATCGCTGATCCCGTCCTCGCGTCACTGCCTCGATCATGGCCATTCTGCGATCCACATTGTGGCCCCGTTAGGCATGAGCGAGACTTGCACTGTGACGACGATGCATCCGCCGGGCATGGATGCGGTGCTGGGCAGCGCTGGCCGCCTCATCTCCAATACCGAGGCCAGGGTCGTCGACGCACAGGGAAAAGACTGCGGATTCGATACGCCAGGCGAGTTGTGGATCCGTGGACCGCAAAACACCTTGGGCTACTCGAACAACGCAAAGGCGACGGCCGAGATGTTCTTGCCTGACGGTTGGATCCGCACGGGCGACGAGGTCGTCATCAATCGCCAGGGCGATGTTACGATCGTCGACCGTCTCAAGGAGCTCATCAAGGTCAAAGGCTTCCAGGTCGCGCCTGCCGAGCTCGAGGGATGCATCCTCAACCAGGAGAGCGTCGCCGACGTCGGCGTCGTCGGCGTCACGGACGAAGATAACGGCGAGTGCCCTCTAGCGTTTGTGGTATGGAAGGAAGAAGTGCGGCAAAAGTTGCAGCGCGGCGAGGTCAAGGAGGACGACGTGGTCAGGCAAGTCGTCGAGTTCGTCAAGAAGGAAAAGGTCAAGTACAAGCACCTCGGCGGCGTCGTCGTGTAAGTGGGCAATCGGCGTCCGTCTTCGGCGCACCGCGCCCATCTCTCACTTTTGCTGACGTTCTTTCCCCCTTGCGCTGCCACTTCTTCCGCCCGCTGCTAGCCTCGATACGATCCCAAAGACAGCCAGCGGCAAGATTCTTCGTCGAAACATGCGCGAGATGGCCAAGAAGCTCGACGAGTCGGTCACCAAGCGTTTCAAGGAAGTCCGGCGACAGAACAAGCTCTAGTGGTCGTGACCTCGACGGCCTGCACAATGCTGCCCTCTGCAAACTTGCTCCTGTCTCTACTCTGACCTCGCACTCGTTTGTGTGGCGACGTCTGTCTGCATCGCTCCCATCCCACCACTTTTGCTCATGCTCAACACCTCGCTGATCCTCCCCTCCATGGTGGGAATCGCAACACAACGATAGTGACTGACCTTGATTCGTGGCAGAGATCCCCTTCTGTCAGAGATGCCTGCATTCGGCGCTCTGCTCCGAGGCCAGTCGTTTGAGCTTGATGTGTTTCAATTTGAAGTACCGTTAAAGCCGGCCCTCGCACCGATCAAAGAGCAGCATTCGAGGAGGGAGCGGTCACAGCGGACCGTTGGAGTCCAGGACGAGGGTCTGGCGATGGTTTTACAGGGTGGTCGCGGGCATCTAGAGTACATGAGGCTGCGGAGGACGTCGACTGAAAGTTGTCTCTGCTGATGAAGAGGTACGCGAGGTCGGACGCCTCTCGGCAGGCCTCGCAGTGTCGCCAGTCAATGGGCCGAAAGGCCGCTGGTCGGACGTTGTCGGTGACGGTGGCGTGTCGTGAGAAGGGGCCGCCCTTAGCAGAACTTCCACTTGTGGTTGCAGTGGACACAGGTGACGAAGGTGGTCCTGATAGGAAGGCCGATGCAGGGCAGGGGGCACGGAACCGGCTGTCAGCCCGAGCCAAGCGACAAGATCTGCGGGCAGTAAGGTGGGAAGCGGGGTTCACGTACATGGGCTCGTCTGCGCTTCTCGTCTGTGGTGTGGGACCGGGAGATCGGCGGCGTGTGACAGCAGAGCCACATTGTCGAGGGTGTCAGGGGCCTGGCATCGTCGTGGTGCAATCGCGAGGTAGGGCAAAGACCGATGAGCGTGAAGGCGCTGCGGACGTACCTGCATCTGGTAGTACCTCGTCTTTCTCTGCTTGCACCTTCCGCATTGGAACGCATCCGTCTCGGCCTCTTGCGCGGCGGCGCCCTTGGCTTTGAAGAGGTTCTGCATCTGCAGCTCCTCGATCTCCTGCCGCCTCTTGTCAGACGCCAGATCCTGCTCCGCCGTGTCAAACGCAAGTGCCGGGAGTTGTTAGGATGTCGGCACGGGATGGACCGCATGGGCATTGCGGCACGTGCGCACTAGACAGGCCCAACGTACCTCGTTGGTCATTGTGACGAGCCTGTCCGGTGCAATTTCCCCGTTCGCGACACGGGCCCGCAACTGCGGGTTGTTCTTGTCCTTGAGGTTCAGGCTCAGGCTTCGCACCTTGCTGCGGTACTCTTGGGTGACGGAACCCTTGCCCTGGTTCTCGAGGATAGCTCGCTCGATCGATACGGCGACTTGAAAGAGGGAAGACGGGTCTGCGGACAGTCCGACGCCGTGAGCAAGGGTCGAGTCCCCAGTAGGTGTGAAGGGAAGAGGGAGGACAGAGGGTCGCGTCCAAAGTTTAGTCGATGCCCGGACGGATGCTCGCGATGCATGCGCCCCGCATGTATGCGGCAGATGGGCAGCGCGACTCACCCAGCCCCTGTGCCTCTCTGTCGATCTCCAGGCTCTGGTAAAGCAGCTTGAGGCAGGCGTTGCGTACCTTGTCGCCCAGCGTGTCAAAGTCGATCTTTGCCGGAGGGACAGGTGACGCCTTGGCGGACCCGTCTACCGAGGCAGGGGTCCTGTTCGAAGCACCGGCTGCGGACGGAGACGGAGCCGCCGAGGGGCTCTTTGTGGTCGAAGCGGCATCCTTTGTCTTCCTCTGCTTGTCTACTATCGACTTCCAGTCCTTGACGAGAGCCTTTGCCTGGTCTGCGACCGACTTGTCGGCGTGCGATCGCAGCTTGCCCACAGCCACACCAATCTTGGACTGACGGATGATGTCCTCGGTGGGATGCAGTCCGGCCTTGAGTTGCTGGAGGATGGCGAGAACGGCTTCGGCATTGCCACCCGACGAGAGCTTGGAGAGCTGCTTCTGCAGGTCTTTGAGCTCGTCGAGGCTCAGGCCACCTCCCGACATGGTCGCCACGAAAGGGTCTTGGACGAGGTACGATGAGACGGTTGCGGATGCAGATTGCTGAAGCAGCAGCAGCAGGCAGCAGCAGCGACAAGGGGCGGCGGCAACAGACAGCTGCAAAGAGTGCAGGGGACGGCGAGACGAAAGGGGTAGAGAGTGAGGGTGAGAGAGAGAGAGTGAGGGGACAGTCGGGTCGAGATGGACGTGCGCGTAGCATGTGGGCGGGAGAGAAAGCAGGCCAGGGCTCAGGTGCCGTGGAGGTTTCGCAGGTCGCGTGCCGTCGTCTCCGATGCCCCGCCGGCCCTGAGATCGGGCAGTCTGGATTGATCACGGATCGGACAAATCGGGCGGACACCGCGCCATCAAACGAGCTCAGCACGGGCCTTCGGGGATCAAACATCCACTACTGGCCTAGGCAGATCAAACACAAGATGGCCCTTCGAATTCCACTCTCTTTTGAACAGGCGAGCACAGGTGGAAAGCTAGGTAGGGCGAACAGGTCGGCACAGGCGCCAGAAGTCTAGTCGACGTCCATCTCTCCGGGACCGTCCTCGGTCTTCTTGTCGCCCTCGTCGGCCTTCTTCTCCTCCGGCTTGGGCGTCTCGACCGGAGTCTCGGTTCTCGGCTTGGGCTTGCTCATGCTGGTGAAGAAGAAAGGCAGGGGAGCCAAGACGGCAGAGGAGAGACGATGCGGAGGAGGAGGAGGAGGAGGATGAGGGGAGAGGAAGAGCAGGGCGGAACATGTCAGCAAAGGGTGTACACGAACGAGGGCCAGGAGCTGCCTCAGCCCGGACCGGTCGTGGAGCGGCGATGACGCTTCGAATCGCGCTGGCTGCGGCGGCCCGACGTCCACAAATGGACAAGCTCAGCATCCGCAGCGGATGGAGAAGTTGGGCCCGGACCCATACTGCCACCACGGCTACCGCTGTGCGCGCTCGAAGGAGTCTCGGAGCGTGCCCGGACGACGCCGGCGAACAGCTGTTCGAGCTTGTCGGGCGATGCCAGCACCGGATTCGCACCATGGTCAGCGCCACCGGGGACCCTGGCAAGACGCTCCAGCAGCTGCCGCTCTTCTTCTTCGGCAGAACTGAGGGCGCTGCCAGAGACGTCGCCACCGCTAGTATCCTCCTCGGGCTGTCCCTCGACGCTTTCCTCCTCCTCAAGTTCCTCCTCGTCGTCCTCGTCAAACCCTTCCGCCTCTTCGTCTGCCTGTCCAGAGCGCGCCTCGCCCTCGGCCCGGTCCTTGTGGCTTCGTGATACTAACATGGGGTGGCAGAAGTAGATGACCTCGTCCTTCTTCTTGAGCATCTCGGCCGACGTGATCTTGGGGTCGGCGTTCTTGGGCAGCTCGGACTGCTTGTAGAGGCCGTCGTCGAGCCACTTGGCGATGGTGGCACACTTCTCGACGACCTTCTGCTTGTCGTCGTCCGAGATGTGGGCGTACTTCTCGTCGCCGCTCTGGACCATTTCCATATACCTGTTGAGGGCCTCGCGGAGCTGCGAGGCGGCCTTGGGACGCTCCTCGCTCTCCTTCTGTCGGAACTGGATCGGCTGTCCGATCTTGTTGAGCGCGGCAAGGCGCTCGACGTAGGCCGACTTGGTGGCCTCCTCGCCCTCCTCGGTGTAAAGCCACTCCTCCTGCTCGTTGAGCGCGGCGAGGTACTTTTCCTTCTCCTCGGCGGTGACAAACAGCTTGTACTTGTCGTCGAGCTTGCTGCGCTGGTCGTAGATGGTCTCCTCGAGCGCGTTCTTGCGGTCCTCGGTGTCGATGACGAGCTTGTCGCTGGAGTAGAGCTGGCCCTCCTTCTCCTTGAGCTCGGCGAGGACGCTGGCGTCCTTGCCGACCAGGCCCGACACGATGCTCAGGTCGCCCTTGCGCTGCAGCTTCTTGACCTTGCGGATCTCGGTCTTGGGGGCTTCCTTGTTCTCGCCATCGGTCTCCATGGCCTGCGGGTCGGCGACGGGGACCTCCTCTTCCTTCTCCACCTCCTCAACCGTGTAGGCGCTCTCGAAGTTGAGCACGCCGTGCAGGTTGAGCCTGGCCTTGACCTTGACGATGCTGTGGTCGCCCTTGGCGTCGGGGCTGACGCCCTTGATGCTGAACTTGCCGAGCCAGGGGTTGATGCCGCGCGGCAGCAGTTCCGGCTGGGCGTAGTATGCCTGCAAGTCGAAGTTTTCCTTTCGGTAGAAGGTGAGGATCTTGGTCGAGGGGATCGGGTTGTTGGGCTGGAAGACGACGAGTTCAGTGTCCTCGTCGGGGACGTCGGCCGCCTTGTCCCAGGTGACCTTGATCGAGTAAGGGGTCGAGTCGTGGACGGTGAAGTCGCGGACCTTGAAGACGGGCGAGAGGGTGGCGCAGGCGAGGGTGCATCCGCGGGCGACAGCCTCGTCCTGGTTCGAGGTGAAGGACAGGGGCTTGCCGAACCACGCCGAGATGCGCTCCTTGAGAGCGGGGACGCGCGAGCTGCCGCCGACCATCTCGACGCTGTGGATCTGATCCTTGGTGAGACCCGACTGGGTGAGGGCGGCCTCGAGGGGCTTGGTGACTCGCTCGAGGAGCGGTGCGATCAGAGCCTCAAACTCCTCGCGCTTGAGCTGGGAGGCGGCGTCAATGTCCTCCATGATGCTCTCGACGTTGAGGGGGGCGAGGGCGTTGGCCGAAAGGACCTTCTTGAGTCGCTCGCAGCCAGCGGCGAGGCGGAAGGTCGCCTTTGGGCTGGAGAGGACGTCGATCTTGTACTTGCCCTTGAACTCTTCGGCGAAATGCAGGAGCAGTGCGCGGTCAAAGTCGCGGCCGCCAAAGTTACGGTCGGCGGCGGTGCCCATGACGGTGAGCTGTCCCTTGACAAAGGAGACCACGGCGACCTGGTAAGACGAGTGTCCAATGTCGCAGAAGACGACGTTGCGCGGGTTGTCCGAGTCGGGAAGGTCTGTCTTGGTGATGCCGTAGCCGAGCGCGGTGGCGGTGGTGTCGTTCATGAGGCGGAGCGGGTTGAGGCCGGCAATCTCGGCGGCATCGAGCATGGCGCGTCTCTGCGCATCCGTGAACCAGAGCGGCGTGGAAAGGACGACATCGCTGACGCCGGCGCCTCCCAACTCCTTGGAAGTGGTGTCGCGCAGCTTTCCGAGGTACATGGCCATGAGCTGGGTGGCCGAGAAGACCTGCTCCTCGCCGGCCAGGCGAACCTTGACACCGACCTCGCCCTTGGCGTCGACAAGCTCGGCATTGATGAACTGCTTCTCGATCTCCTGGATCTCGGCATCCTGGAGCGTTCGTCCAACGAGACGCTTGAGCGAGCCGACAGTGTTCTTGAAGTTGGACGTCTGGGCAGTGGCCGCAGCCTCGCCGAGCGCACGCGCCTTCTGGCCAAAGGAGACGAGTGATCTGTGAAGAGCAGCGCAGAGTGTATGAGGGTCGGTCATGAGCGCAAACCAGAGGTGAGCCAGCGGCGGCAGAGCGTGGCGGGGAGTCGGGGGTACTTACGGTGTGCTTCGGTTGCTGACCTCGTTGGCGATCACATCAACACCGCGGGCGCGGGCGACGCCGATCTTGGACGAGATGTTTCCGATATCGATACCGACAACGCTGGACATGTTGGGCAGGTGAAGACCGGGGAGGGGGGGGGAGCCGGGCGGCGTTGGCAAATGATGTAGCTGGCGCGCTATTGGCCGTTTGGTATGTCGAGAAGAGAGGGCTTCCAGATGCTGCGACCCGCGAGACTATTGTCGATGAAACAACAGGCTACGATGATGGAAGACAAGGTCGGTCGTGATCGAAGTGATGGTGGTGATGGTGGTGATGGTGGTGACAAGGAGCGTGCGACCAAGGATAGTGGTTAGGCGGCCAGGGGTCTCGACGGAGCCGGCGTCAGCGTGGTGATATCCTTTGCACCGGCTGAAGGGCTTGCAGGCACAGAGGATACGCAGCACCCGTGGCAGGCCCCAGGGGCGGGGTCCCGCCAGCTGCCAAAAAGCTGGTCTGGCCCCCACGGGTGGTCGGGCACCTTCGTGAATCTTCGATGAATTTTCGAGGCGGTTTCCGCCGCCCTGCACACGCGGCCAGCCGCGTTTTTCTTCCTGAAAAAGTCGGCAGAAAATCCAAAATTTTCCTTCCTACCGCCGACGTGGCGCTGTGATCGGCTGGCTCGCAAATTTCAGGCAGGTACCCACAGGCCCGCTCGGGCCAGGTGCAGGCAGGGTAGTCGGGATCGGGTCTCGATCGGGGTCGATATTTGTCCCCCTGCTCTTCACGGTCACTCCGCTACGATGTCCGACCCCCCATCCGCCTTGCTGCGGGCCCGGTCTACACGCACGGCGGTCGGAAGTGCGCTGCGCAAAGAAGATTCAGCCAATGCTATGCTACGATTACGGACAATCGCTCGCGCGTCAACACTGCAGGCACAGTACGGTCGATGCGTACATACAGCCGCGCCGCAGCGACGGCCGTGGGCAACAGACGTGTCAGCGATCTTGGTCAGCGAGCTTCCAATCGTGATGGGCCGGTCGGCGGAGTGAGCTCCTGTGCTCGTGCCTGGACGCGGTCTCGATCCCAGATTCGAGGGAGGACTCACAGTGGTTCTCGGAGCAAATCTGAACTTGGGCTGCGAGGGGATTGCAAGCAAGATCGCGGTTCCATGTGAGCTCGCTGTGGCGCGGTAGCTACCGCAGCTTTTCGAACTCACGCGACCATCGTACCCAATGACGCCCCAACCAGGCAGCATTGCGTCGCTCCAGATGTGCGCGAACCTGAACGACGGTTTGGCGACGGGTCAGGCTGGTCAGTCTCTGCGCGTCTCATGCTCCGGCGACCGAGCTGGTCCGTCGCTGTTGGCGCGGGAGCGCTGGCATATTCACCAGCCCACGCCGCCTTGGTTGAGCCCTTTCATCCAGGGACATTGATCGTCGAGCATCTCGAAGTAGGCTCGCTCCTGGGCCACGCTCGCGACGGCGTCTTTCGAGTTGGGCTTGAAGACCGAGTCGTCCGAGGGCCAGCCAGTCTGGGTCATGTACCTGAGCCGGGCGGCCCAAGTGCCCGGCGGTCAGTGCCTGCCTGCAAAGCGAGCCGGGTGCCGCCATACCATCGCCACTCACACCTTCTTGCCGCTATTGCGAGATGCAAAGTACTCGTAGTCGCGCTTCACCAGCGTGAAGGCCTTGTCGCCCGTGGTTCCCTTGGGATCCAGAAAAGGTAGCACGTTGGCCTCGCTGACGTCGACGGCAGCAAATACCTGGGGAGCGTCGTCGTGGAGCTGAAAGCCGTAAGCAAGGTCGGACAACGTCACCTGCATCCCAGTATCGCCTCGCTGGGTCCAGGGGGCTAGCTGCTGCCTGAAGTCCCGGATCTGTACAGCCAGGCTGTCTGGGTCCAGGGCCCAGTCGTACAGCGGTTCGCTGCCCACGACGACGGCGCGCACCACGAAGGGTGCCCTGGGGTTGTACTGAATGGCCTGCATGAGCGTCCTCTTGCGGGTCTTCCAGACGTCGCCGCCATCAAAGCCAAACCACAGCAGCATGTGAAGGCCGAGGCCGTGCTCCCATGCGGCGTTGATCAGGTCATCCTGGAACCCCTCGCGATCGCAAACCGAGTAGATCCGCACGTAGCGGCTGCTGTAGTCGTTGCGCATCCTTCCAAAGTCGCTGCGGATCTGATTGGCCGACGGGCAGTCGAACGTGCCGTAGGAGAAACCGAGGAAGGCGTACTCGTCCTGCTGCGAACACCACCACCCGTCCAGCGAGTCTGGCTCTTCGTGGGGCATCTGGAAGTCGAGGGCCGGGAAACAAGGAGCGCCTCTTCCGTTGCCTGCGCCGCCGGCGCCGATACTGGCGGCTATCGTCGCTTTTGTGACGACGCCATCTGCGCCCACTTCGACCGCCGAGGACTGCGTCGAGCTGCTTGCGGCGTGCGCCTGCTCGACGTAACAGGCGCTCGAGGTCCTCGACCGTCCCTTGCTTCGCTTGCCGGGCTCCCTGGGTGGGGGCGTGGTCTCAGGTTCACCGCCAACGACGGCTTCGCGGTTGGCCAGCCAGTGGACCGCCCGGTTCAACCGAATATCGCGTCCTTCTGGCTGCAGAGGCGAAAAAGGCCCGGACTGTTTGTCGGACTGTCTTTGGGTCGGGATGCTCGCTGCGTCCGCCGGCGACAAGTGGACGAACAGGAGGGCCGACCACGTAGCGAAAAAGACGAACAGGACGACGACCTGCATCGTGGGTTGCCGGTAGCAATCTGGCGAGACCTGCTTCGCTTGACCCGGCTTGGTTGGAAAGGCTACTCTGGTGACCCGCACCTCGTAGCTCAAGACGTGAGGAAGGTCAGGTGTCGAAGCAGCGGGGACTCGGGACCTGACAGCTAGCGATCATCTACAGGAAGGAAAGGGAGGGGGGAGAAGTGGTGGTACAAGGACGAGATCCGGCCCAGCTGCAGCCGACCACGACGTGCGAGTAGTGATGGCGGAAGGATGGGCCAGACGTCGATGCCCCTCGAGGCTAGTGATTTGGAACGGCACATGCATGGTACATGAGCGAGACTCCGGCTGACTTCTGATCTCTGCTTCGTGGTGGCGGAGATCAGCGCGCCACGCTCACGGGTCGAGACTTGCATACTCTGCGGGGAAGTCCCCACGCTGGTCTCGAGGTGTCCGCGTGTCAAGGATGTTTTGCGGCGCTGGCTTGATCCGACCGGGCGGGGATGGCTGGCGACCGTCGGGATGGTCGTGGAAGTTAGGAGGACGGAGCGCGAGGTTCGCGACACGTCAATCTTCGGATCTTGTTCCAATCTCCCGATTCGACATGCGACTAGACTGGCCAGGCCAGATTATTGGGCGCAGCGCCGAATCGAAGCCGCTTAGACAGGCCGGGGTCTTCCATGCAAAGCGCGCAGGCGATGACGTCGTACACCGGGAGGAGTCTGGCGCCGCCGACGGCCCACGCCCCGGCGCGGCCATACGTACACTGCAGTAGACACCCTAACACTACTACTCGATCTCACAGAGTAAAGTGTTGTGTAGCAGCATGCATGTATTGGTACGGACGCACAGGGGTCGGGGCAACGCCGCCTGGCTCTTGTTCGTGGCTAGGTGGTATCGCCCAAGCTTGGCTGCCCGCGACCTTGGCCACGAACCACCCAGACTCTGTGGACGAGGAGGCGGCGGCACACGCAGAAGAAGCTCGCACGGCGGGACGCTTGCGAGATCTAATCAGGCTTCCTACAATCTCACCAGAGTGTCGCGTAGGGAGGAGGACCTCACGCAGGCTCGATACCGATCTCAGTCAACGACCCGACGGATCGGATCGGATGGGCCTAGCCTGGGATGCTCGCTCGCTGGCCCGAGCCAAGGGCATGCGGGCCGTCGATCGGGCCGGCCGGCTCCAACGTCAGCTGCTTAGGTACGCGTGTCTTCGAGACCCTCTCGAGGCGATCCGTCCTGCCACCTTTGCCCAGGGTCCAACACATCGTCATCGCTCCACAATGTAGAGGATTGGCCCGAAACCGCCCTCCAGGACCCGATCCGCTCTGCCACGGCCCGGCTCTTTACTGCACCATCATCATCGTCGTATCGTCGTCACCAGAGGCATCAGCGGCATCAGCAGCAGCAGCGGCATCAGCAGCAGCAGCAGCAGCAGCATCAGCAGCAGCATCAGCGCCACGGCCGCACAGACTACAACACTGTGTAGCCCAGTACATGTTCCGGAGCAGAAGCAGCGACGGAGTGTGGCAGGGAAACTTCTCCGGCGTAAGCATCATCATACCGGCATCATTGCTCGCCTCTCGTGCCAGCACCTCTCTCTCTCTCTCTC